ATCGGCTGTTTTGAAGAGTTCATGGCATATTTTTTTTCTATACGTACTGAAACGAACGGCGCCGTTGTGTCGTGTCATCTTCTTTTTTTACATTGCCGACTTTTTATGGATTTTGTTTAAAAATCCTTTTACTCACGTTTTGTGTGCTACGCCGAGTCGCGAATGCTTCAGATGTGCTGTACGACGTTGCACGTACGCTTTGCATTTGCGTCTGTTATTGCGTTTGTGGCGACGACGGTCGTTGTTCAGTTCCGTGCCGTCATTTGCGATGACGTTCAACTGCGTATACATAATTACTGTTAAGGCGTCCGCCGCAACCGGGTCGGCCTATATGTGTTTGCACCCACTTGCACTATTAATATATGTGCTTGATTGTGGGTGACGCTGTATGACTACAGTATCTTCCATACCTACGTCAAGAACTGGCTGATTTTACAATTGTGATTGGGGACCTGACGACGTTCGGACCATTGTCGTGGACGTATTATTGCTTCGACCCGTGATACAGGTTTTCTTTCATCATATTATATCATAACGTAAATATTATTATCAGCATCTTCAGCTGCCTATATTTTATTATAAAAATGTTATGAATTTATATTAATTGTTTATAATACTTTCTGTTTATTATTATTACCTTTTATGCGCGCAATTCATTAATTACTAATTATTATATATTTTATGTATTGTTTTCTTCATTATTTTTGAAGGCTTGTTGTAGTAATTTATATATATATATATATTGTATTTTGTCCTGTTATAATATTATATTAAATACAAGTGACATCATTTATTATTATTACATGGTGTTATAATCAATTATGTAGGTACAATTGACTCTTGATTCAATGATTTGAATGGATTGTTATTAAAATGTTTCAGCATAAATAATAGTTAAGTAAATTAAAATATTTTTTTATTATAGGGTAATGCACCAACCGCAAGTCAGGAGTGCTTATTCGACATAAAATATGGCTACCTTATTTTAAAAATATTTTATACTCAACTTTCTACTAAAACGATAGTATATAAATAATTATAATATTTGAAAAAGTGTGAATTTAGTATATACATTTTGTATATAATTTATATACATATATTAATTTATATAATGTATATCCTGTAATTTTTATTATAATAGCGCTCAGAAAAATACAACCGGGTGATGAAATAACAATAAACTATGGTGATAATTATTTTGGAGATGAGAACAAGGATTGTATGTGCCACAGTTGTGAAATTAAAGGCACAGGTCATTTTAAAATCAATGCCCAAGGAGCTTGCATGATGCCTGCAGCTTCCGATGAATACCCTCATGATATCAACATAGAAGAAGACTTATATACGTGTGCTTTGTGTTAGAAAAAATCCCTCTACAAAAGTTGGCTAGCGCTCCACATTTCAAAACATATGGATCCAATACATGCTTGCGAAAAGTGCGATCGAGTGTTCAATAGAAAAGATGCATTAAAGAGACACAACGGACCAAAAGGCTTCCCATGTTGTACAGATCCATGTTGCTCAAGAGGAAGGAGGTATAATAGAACCTCACATGGGTGGATAGATGCAGCAACTTTTTCAGAATGGTTTCGTTCTACTTTTTTGCCTCATACCTATCGATTACCTGGTAGAAAACTGCTTATAGGAGATAATTTATCATCTCATTTCTCTCCAGATGTTTTAAAATCTTGTGAAGAAAATAATATTGCATTTGTTTGTTTTCCGCCTAATTCAACACATCTTTGACAGCCACTTGATGTTTGTTTTTTTAGGCCTTTTAAAGAATCATGGAGAAACGTTATTTACAACTATAAAATGACAAACAAAAATGCAAAAAGTAAAAAAGTATACCTAAGTGAGATTTCCCTACTCTGTTAAAAGAATGCTTATATAATATGAACATGGATCAAAAAAACCAACACATATGAACAAATAAAAAATAATTTAGTTAGTGGATTCAAGGCAACAGGAATAGTGCCTTTTAATCCAAAATTTTTTTTTCTAAGAAGATTACCTGATTGTAATGTTGATCATGCTAACAAAGTTAATAATAACTTGATTGATACATAGAAATAATACACAATAAAAAGGCATCTTTGTGATCAATGCCCAAAAGACTTTTCCACCAACTACGGTGTGATAATGCATAAAAAGAAAACCCACAGTAACGAAAACATTAGGATTAATTGCCCCAAATGTCCCTTGACATTTGGTTGCCTACAAGACTTAGGATATCAAGATAACTTAATACATACGAGATTAAAACCATATATAAGTTCTAATCTTTTATGCAATCGTGCGTTTGAAACGCCGTATCTATTGCACAAGCATAAAAAAAGACATGAACACAGAAACTAAGAATTCAATACGAAGCAGAATAACACATTTTAACACAATTCAACTCAGTTTATGGTACCAATGCCTCTTACTAAAATGAATTACCTAATTCACAATATTAATGTTATCATATAATTTGTTTAGTACATACGGAATTAAAATACGGAACTGGTAGACACTGAGTAGGAACTGAGTGACACTTTAAGGTACGGTCTGCAAGGCGCGACATGTCGCCGCGACCGGTCGCCGCGACATATCGTCAATATTTGTTTTAATGGAAATCGTATAGTCTGGTTTGCAAGACGCGACACGTCGCGACGTGCCAACTTTTGGTCGCCACGGCCGACGACACTACTGCTGCAAGAGCAGTAGACACGCGACACGTCACGACGACACAATGTCAAAAATAGTATTTTCGCCATCTGAAGATGAAACATTGGTCCAAGAGGTACAACAGAATCCTATATTATATAATATAGAAGAAGTGGATTATAGAAATATTATAACAAAAGATAGGATATGGAAAGAAATTTCGATCAAAATTGATAAATCTGGTAAATAAAATAATATAATATAATTAATAACTTATCTATACCAAAAAATTTTAAAGATTCCGAAATATATTTTAATAATTTTATAGTAGATGACACTAAAAAGCGATGGAAAAATATAAGAGATTCATACGCTCGAAATAAAAGAAAACCTGGAACTGGATCATCAGCATCAAACAAAAAAAAATGGTCCTTGGCACCACATCTTAGTTTTTTAGACCAAGTTCAATGTGAGAGAGAGTAAGTATATACAAATTAATGTTAAATGTTATATCATTATTATTAAAAAAGGTGGGAAAGTAGGTGTCACTCTGCTGTACAGTAGGTTATAAGCGGGTCACTGTAATGGATGGTATTAAATTTGAGTTCAATGATATAGGGGTACGGTATAACAGATATATAACTCTTGCATAATATTTTTGAAAAAAATTTTTATTTGCTATTTAATAGTATTTATAGAGTAATGCAGTTTTTTCGACTCTATTCGCGTACTTTAATAATTTTAAATTAATATTGTATGATTATTGTTTTCGTATTATACTATTCCACAGTCCACTAATCACTATACAAGGCATATGGGTACCTACATATTATGTTAAAAAATATTACACACACTATTTTCCTGTTAAATACTGTAGGTAATAATATATTATTATACATTTATTTATTTAAAACTAACAAACATATTACAGGTGTATAAAACTATTGTGGTAGTGTGGTAGTGGGTAGATACGACGAAAAAAAATAATTTAAGTAATTCTTACCTAAAATCTTTTTTATGTGTCTGACTATAATGAAGCATATAGTATTTATCATTGCCTAAAACTAGATGTAGTAAATTTACTTATTACCTAACTACTTTATTTTTTAATAGTTTGAAAAGTGTGATTTTATGAATTTTCAATACAAAATATTTTTAATTTTTAAATTTGATAAATTTTGTCAAAACTTTAAATGCTTGTAAAAAAAATTGTGGCAACGGATTTTTAATATTTTTCATCCAAACAATATAATATTAGGAGCCTTATATTCAAAGACTTACACCAAAAACCAAAAAAAACAACAAAAACCAAAAACGTTGTTGAAAATCTGTTTTTCGTAAAAATAACCTTGAATAATTTTGAATTACCTTTAATAGTTGTAATGAATAATTAAATACTTAATTTTTTAGATCGACTTGTAACGTTACTATGGACCAGCATATAGACGTTCCTATTGATGAAGAAAGAGATAATAATGAAACAGCAAATGACTTACCACCGGCTGAACCGTTGAGTGGGAAGCGCGGTTTCTCTAGGTCGAAAAAGGTTGCCGATTTGTTAATGAATAAATCAGAAGAACGAAATTTGCTTATCAAACAAATTATGGATCAAAATAAACAAATTTTAGAGAAAAAAGAACAGAGTTTCGATGAACTAGATTTATTTTTTAAAACCATGGCCGTAACAGCTAAGAAATTACCAACCAAAGGGAGACTTGAAGCTAAGACAAAAATATTTTCATTGATGACCAAACTTGAGGAAAAATACTTGTTAGACGAACAACCGGAACAACTGGAACAACCTATATTTTCACATCAACCTATGTATCCACATCAAACTATGTATCAACATACTGCTAGCCGAATGTTAAATGTTCATACTCCACCTTTACATGTTCCGTTACAACAAAACCATTTTCAAACATCGCAGGATTCCATTCAACCTTCTCCAACAACATCTGCAAGTATCTACTCAAGATCTTCAGACTCACAGTTTTCTTTGTATAACCTTGATGAGGCATCTACATAATAATATTTTTCATACCTATTGTATTTTGTTTACATTTTAATTTCATTTTCAAATTTCGTAATTTTTTATAAAAAAGTTGATTTTATTATCTTATGGTAATATATAATATATATTATATATACATTTTATAAAATTATGAGTTAAATAAAAAAGGTTTTTATTTAGTTATAACTTATTATTTTATAACTACAAATATGTTGCCTTAATATTACATCTAATATAACATTTTAATATATTATAATAATTAATAAAGATGATAAACTAAAAATTATGTATACAAAAAAAAAAAAATATATATATATATCTTTAATATAGTTTAAATTTAAAAATTTGTTTGCCAAGAAACAGCCCCTTCATTATTGAAAAAGTCTTTGAACAAATTCCTTACTTCAAATCCTTCGCTATTTGAAAACCCTCCACGTCTAGAAAATTGTATCATATTGTCAGTTGGAGGTGATTGTTCCGTATCATATTCGAAGAATGGTCGTTTATTTTTCTCTAAGTATCCCTCACGCAACATGTTGTGTAAGCAGCAGGTTACCCATATTAGATCGTCGATTGTGGTCGTTTCCAAGTTGATTGGTTGATAAAAAATCCTAAAAATTTGGCTCAATAATCCAAAGGCGTTTTCTGTGACTCTTCGTGCACGACTTAGTCTGTAATTGAACACAGCTTCTGAAGGATTTTCTCTAGCAGATTTCCTCGTGTATGGCTTCATAATGTGTTTATGTAAACGAAAAGCTTCATCACCTACAATTACGTGGGGTGCAACCTTATCTGATCCAGGGAGTTGACATGGTTCTGGAAATCCGAATCTTCCGTTTAAAATTTGCTGTCCCATGTTTGACTTTAAAAAAATGCCACTATCGCCTTCTTTACCAAAAGAACCAATATCAACAGCAATAAATTTATAATTCGCATCCACCATTGCCAGAAGGACAATCGAAAAAAAATCTTTGTAATTATAAAATAATGACCCAGATTTATTTGGACTTCGAATGCGGACATGTTTTCCATCAATTGCTAAGATACAATTAGGAAAATTCCATTTGTATGAAAACTCTGCTGATTTTTGTTTATAATCAATATTTTTTGAATCGGGCAAGAAAATCGGCACCAATTTAATTTTCAATTCGGCTAGTGTATTTTTTATAATTGTACTTGAATAGTTGTGGCTAATACGAAAAGCGAACGATAATGATCTTATTGATTCACCTGTGGCAAGATACCTGTTTAAAAAATAATTCATATTTACTAAATATTAGGCACAAAATATTAAATAAATTATAAATATTTACCTTAAAGTAACTGCTAATTTTTCTGCCGGTGTTATTGGCTTTTTAATTCGATTGCTTGGTTGTACAGTCAATTTTTCTTCCACCAAAGTTAACAAAAAGTTAAATTGTTCATAGTTAATTCGGAAATATTCACGAAATTTATTGTGATTGTTTATTAAATGTCGATTAATTAGTATTTCAAAAAATCCTTCACTTTCACGATTTTTAAAGATATTGTCTGTTGGTTTTCTTTCCTTTGGCGTTAAATCAGAAAACAAACTAACCTCGTCCTCATCCTCATCCTCGTCTATCAGTAGGAGGGTTAAAATATTATTGTTATTAAAAACTAATTTATCCATGGTTTAATACTTGTGAAGGTACCTGCTACACACTTGAACAGAATTAAAACCGAACTAACAAAATTACTGTTTGTGATTAATGACTGAAAAAATAATTTAATCGTCGCGACTTGTCGCGTCTTGCAAACCACACTGGTCGCGACGACTGTTCATGGCCATCGGTCGCGGCGACCGGTCGCGGCGACATGTCGCGGCGACATGTCGCGGCGACATGTCGCGGCGACATGTCGCGCCTTGCAGACCGTACCTTTACAGAATATAATATCTCATCGCTTCTTTTCCAAAATTGTGAGACCAGTGCAGTTAAGTAATTATTGTAATTGTAAAATGTATGTACAATGCATGTAAAAATGTATGTTCCTCCAGTTTATAGTGCACAGGACCCCTATTTCACTAAATCATAATAAAATTAATTACCTGCAGTGTTGGGAATAGATAACTAATAATTTATCTAGATAAAGATAAAGATGACTGTAATAATTTTTATCTAGATACAGATAAAGATAATTATACTAAATTTTATTTAGATAAAGATAAAAATTAGTACATTTTTATCTAGATAAATATGAAATATTTTCATGTTAAATTTTGAAAATATTCAGGATACCTACTTCAGTCTACAGGTAAAACAAAATATATAATTTAAAATTTTTTTAAATGAATGTACTTTATTAAACTGATTTCAAACATTAATACAAATCAAATATGAATTTTTTTTTTAAATAAATGTCATAATAAGATGACAGGTCATTCTCTGACTTGGTGAAAAAATGCGGGCGTGTTATTTAGAGTAGGTATAATTTGATATAATTTCAAGTTGCTATTGTTGTTTGGTTAGTTGTAGATTTGTAGTCAAATTGTGATTAACTACCTTTCGTCTAATCGTCTATGGTGTATACCTACTTAATAGTTTATTTTAATCAACAATATTTCATTTAGAATTGGCCAATAATCAATATTGAATATATTAATTCATAGTAGGTAAGTACATATATTACACACTTTATTATTTAGTTTTACTTTTCATTGTTTTTTAAATAAAATTATGATTATTATTTACTTTTCTTAGGTAACGTAATACGAAAACGATTTAAGAAATAATTATTGATCATTAAATATGGGTAGGAAAATTACAAATTCCGGCCTACGCATGTATTTTGTGTACAATGTGTCAACTAATACATGCACTTGTACAATTTTGGATTGTCCACATCCTGTACGGAGTGGATGTCATGCAAGGAATTTGGAAAATCATGTCAAGGCATTCCTCCAAAATGAAAATAAAGAACTTTTAAAAGAAAAGTCAAAAGTATCATCCTGTCATAATGAATATGAACCTTCATCGAGCATTGTAAAGGATAGTAATTATTATTTACAAAATTTAAAATACTTATTAGCTAATATACAGCCTTGAGAATTAACATGCAAAACAAAAATAATTTAAAATAGTTTAAAAAAATTGTAACTTCATAAGCCTGAAGTATAGTTATTGAAGAAATACAACTTTCTTAGTGACATTTTAAATATGTTGTCCTTATGTACCTATTACATTACCTAATACAAATTGCAGTGGCGCAACTACACCTAATGGTGCACTAGTAACTAAAATTAATTGGTGCCCTACTATATATTATTTGCATTATACAATTATAATTTATAGTTATGGTGACCAATTAATATACTAATTTAAAAAAGTAAATTTTAAGACTTAGCTCCTCTGTCAAAATTGAATAACGTGAATACTAGTATACCCAATACCCATTTTGCCCGTTCCATAGCCCATAGGTCATCTCCATCAAATATTGTTTATTTTATTACCTATTTTTACAAAGTTAAGTACATATCCAAGACTGAAACATCATAGTTTACGTATGTGGCTATGACATATTTATGTTGTGGGAGACGCAGTCCATTTATTAATATGTCTATGCTAGGAACCTAATTTATATTATACATAATTTCTTAAAATTGATTTTTATTATCCATATGCCTATTTAAAAAAATTAATTAGTATTATTGTTGTGTTAATAGAAGCAAATATGTGGACCAGTGGACAAAATGATTTGTGTTACTAAAACAACACTAACAAATGTTAAATTAAATAAAAAGAATATCATTGAAGCGTGTGTTCAGCTAGTTACAACAAATGGAAGGCCTTTTACACTTTTAAACGATACTGGCTTCAGAATGATAATGGATCCAATCATGAACTCTATCGGTGGCGGTATGTATACCTATAATATTAAAATGTATACTTTATATTTAGCCATTTAGGTAGTTATATTAGTATTGGTACTTGGTAAAATAATTTATTTGTATTTTAATTTAAAATGTTTAAATTGTTATCATAATTGATGAAAAAAATGATTCACCAGACATAAGTCATTGTTGCACCTATTAACCTATTTAGAAAACATAAAAATAAAAAGCAATTTTATACTTTGTCTAAGTTTTAATGAATTTGTAGCTCTTAACCCTTTCACTGCCGCCGACGTACTATTAGTTATTACGTTCTAATCAATTAAAATATTTTGGAAAACTTTATCAGTGCGGGAAAAAGTTCATTATCTAGATAAAAAAATAAAGAATTTAATGATACCAAAATCTCGTTTCTACCTTCATTACTCTGGTTGTTGTAGTTAATTTAAATTTGTATTGCAAGTAGTGCATCCCAAAATGTGGTAAAATATTATTACTTTATCAACAGTCACACATCAGTATCTTTGCCATAAATTCTATGGCAATATTATAAATAATTCTCGGTCGTTCTATTTATACTTTTTTGTATATTATTTATATTTTATTCAATATCAATATGAATTATGTTCGTACAAAGTTCGTGCACAAGTATTGCTATAATAGTTTTTTATTTGACAATATAATGCTTTCCGACGCTCAAATTGCAGAAAGTCTAGATGAAATCTTACAAGATATAGATTCTGATGATGATTTTCTTCTTGATTATATAAATTTTGACGACGCTGTTGAACAAGAACTTGAAGGTAATTTATTTGTTTTACATGATAATTTCTTACTCAACAAACAATAGGTTTCACCTAAAAGTTTATAAATTAATTATTTATTAGATTTAGAACCAAAACGTCCGTCTGATGTTCCTCAATTTGTACCCACTGCACGCAAGAAAAAAAATGAAACGTGTATACAAAATTTGATTTGGAAAAAACGTGGAAACTTTGTACCAAAAATCCACGATTTTGATCCTTCTAAGGTAATATAACTATTTATGCATACAATTTTGTACTACCTATTGGTTTTACTCTTAGAGTGGTGTAAACAAAGCAGAATTTGGACTATCAGATCAGTCAAGCATTTTAGATTTTTTTGAGGCATTTGTTACCCCAAGCTTATTGGGGAAGGTTGCATTTGAGATAAATCGCTAGGTACTGCCAGCAATTTGACAACGTTACACCTGGTTCTAGGTAAATATTTAAAAAATATGACTGCTTATATAATATTATACAGACAAAATTGTTCAAAGGATGTTATTGAGTTATTATAAACAAAAATTGCAAATTAATTACATTACAAATTTGTGTTTGGACTATAAATTAGAAATTTTACATTTTATTTTGATACACTTATATTATGTAAATGTAACAAATTATGTGTAGAAAGAGATATTATACTTTTATAAAATATCTTCTTTATTATAATAAGTTACACCTACATTTTACAAGTTATTATAAATTTATTTTTATTTTTTTAGAGTCAATCAATGGGTAGATGTAGATAGTGAAGAGATGTTTGTGTTCTTAGCAATAACTATGCTTATGGCCAGGAATAAAAAATTAGAAATACAAGACTACTGGTCCATGGACCCCTTATCTCATCAACCAATATTTGGCAAATACATGAGTCGCAACAGATACCAAATTATATTGCGAATGCTTCATTTTAGCCAGAATGAAGATCAAGTACCAGGGGACAGACTTGCAAAAGTGCGTATGCCTTTGAAAGAAATAACCAAAAATTTCAAAGAAGCAATGGTTCCTTTTGAAAATTTAGCTATTTATGAAAGTTTAGTGCTTTGGAAAGGAAGATTATCGTTCAAACAATTTATTAAAACCAAAAGTCACCGTTTTGGCATTAAAATATTTGTGTTGTGTGATGTTGAAACCGACTTTATACTTGACATAATTATATATACTGGGAGTACCACTGAGTATACAAAAACTGACCCTAGCCTTGGAATTTCTTGTGCTGTTGTGAACACACTTATCAAACCATATTTGAATAGAGGCCATAAATTATTCATATATAATTGGTATTCATCACCATCCTTGGATAACTATCTTCATAAGAGAAAAACTAATGTCACAGGGACAGTTCGAAAAAATCGAAAAGGTATGCCGACCCTATTAGCCAAATTAAAAGTTGGACAAACTGAAAGCCAACATACCAAGACTATGTTAGTAGTAAAATGGAAAGATCGTAGGGATGTATTTATGCTCACTACTCAGTTTGAAGACAAAATGGTACATATTGGAAAAAATGATCATCAAGGTAATGCAATTTTGAAACCAGTAGCAGTAATGCATTATAATGAAAGCATGGGGCCAATCGACAAAACGGACATGCTCTTGAGTTCAGTTGTGAGCAAACAATGTGTGAGAAGAACAATCAAGTGGTATAAAAAATTATTTTTTCACTTGATTGATCTTTCACTTTTGAACGCGTACTCAGCTTACAAAACGTGTACTGGACTCAAAACTAACCTTGCAGACTTCCAGTACTAGTTGATACGTTAAATATTCACTAAGTATGCAACACAAAAGCAAAATATATGTCGCCGTTCAAACACGTCATGTTTACCAGAGCGTTTACAAGGACGTCACTTCCCTTCGATAGTACCACCTACATCAAAAAATTAAAACCACAAAGACGATGTTTAGTATGCCAGAACAAATTCAATAAAAGAAAAGACACAACATACATGTGTGTAAAGTGTGATGTAGGGTTGTGTCCAGTCCCGTGTTTTGAAATTTACCACACACATAATTATAAATATAATATATATTTTTTATTATACAAAAGTGTATAACATAACATAATAAATATTAATTGTTTGAATATGGTCTTTTATGTTGATTTAATTTCTAATAGCCGGTAATTACCTCATTTTGGGAAACCATGGCATACATTTCTTGAAACTTGAATTACTAAGTCAATAATGATTTTTGAGTTTTTTGAACTTTATAGGTTGGTTTATTACATCTTTCAAAATATTAAAAGTATGAAAAAAAAAAAAAAGTCAAATTTATGTGGCAGGGACATGTTAAAAAGTACAAATCGTCTGGCAGTGAAAGGGTTAACTATACATATTTTAGGTTTCAGAATTAATTCTCAAAATATTAAGCAATATGTTGATACATAAGCAGAGAATATTGTAAAAAACATTAAATATGATGTTATTGGAAAGCTAATTTCCTTAAAAGTAGATTGTGTTACAAGACTAAATCGATCCATTCTTGGTGTTAATGTTCAATACACATCAAGACCCTAGGGATGCCGGAACTTTTGAGTCGACATTCTTCTGACTATTTAAAGGAAATAGTATGTATAATTAATTTGAATTGATGTAAATCAATTTCGAGTCAAATTATTACTTCCTAAAATATTTATTTTAAACTAATGAATTGTTTAATTCTTTTTCTTTTTGTGTTTTTGCCAGCTATTAAATATCTTAAAGAAATATTACATTAATAAGCGCCAAGTGTACTCTATAACATGTGATAATGGTGCCAACATTGTAAAAATGGTAAAAATATTTAACGAAAATATAGAAGACCTTGAGTCTGACGATAAATCTGAAGAGGAAGTAACTAATATTGTAAAAGGTATGTACTTAAAATTATAAAACTGTTGGTTAAAAAATTAATATTTGTTAGAAATTATTTGTAAGAGTAGATGCATATTAAAAAAAAAATGTATTAATTATTTTATATATTATGGTTTTGAATCATTGAAGTTGATATTTTCCTTGGTAATTAAATAAAAATTGACAACAATACTATTTAATATAATCACATAAAAATAAAATATACATAGGTAGTACATAAAATATTTCAATTTAAATACAAATGAAATAATTTTAAAGAAAACTACCTACTTTTTTTCCGCATTAATAATTTATGACTTATTTACCATGTATAAAATTTTAGATGACTCTGATCTGAGTGAAAACGCTATTAATGAAATTGTATCAGAAACAGATATCACATTCAATGTTGATATGTTGCAAGATGAGGTTGCTACATCACTAAACAATAATATTGAAGTAAATTGTATCACCCAATGTATAGGTAAGATGTTCTGTGCACACATTTCAACTGTGTGTTGAAAGTGGACTGAAAGAACCCTCAATTCAAAAACTATTAGGCACTATTCACACTATAGGTAACGCAACGGTCCGATCACGCAACAGTCACGGTCAAGTCAAATATTATTTAACTAATTTTAAATTGGTAGTCTACATTACCGATAACGCTCAAGTCATGGTCAAATCACAATCAGTTAACGATCAATTGAAACAATATTTTATCGGAGCGATACCTGCTCTTTCCTAGGATAAATTATCAGTGTGAATTAGAAACGCGCACGTGCCAGTCGACAGACGCTTTGTGATATTTGTCATTACCACTAACCTAACCATTATTTGTAGTACCATGAATAAAAAAACTAAAGTTACTGGCTGGGATTTTGATAAAAGTACGTAATTCATAATATATTACATTATTTTATTATTTATTATACATTATACATTATATATGACTTATAATCAATAAAATAAAAAAACAAGTAATATAAGTAATATAATATACTATTGGTATACCGTAGAACATAGGTAATACAATTTTTATGATATCGTTTTCAACTATATCATACATGAAATTGGTTGTTATTATGAACAATATTAATTTAAAAAAGACAATATGACATAATGTACTTAATACTTAATATTTATTATAAACCTAAGAATATGAAACTATTTTAAATATTATATATCGTATTGTAAAATATGCAGGTGAACAGTTGATTGAGCTGGTTAGGAATAAGCCAGAATTGTATGATTTAAAATGTCCCCGATATAGTGACAATATTTGTAAACGAAATGCTTGGAGTGAAATTGGATCACAATTGAATGTACAAGGTAATGTAAATATAAACTTAAATAATAATAAAGTAACAACTACATTTTAAATAACTAAATTACAACATAATGTTAATTTGAATGAGTATAATATAATGGTGATATAATTATTTATATTTTATCCATTTGCCATGGCACGGCCCCAGCTGGTGAATTAAAAAAACGTTTAAAATTATTTCTTACTATAAATGCTTCTGTTTGAGCATTTCCTCCGTGTTTTTTTAAGTTCATGATTCGATTTTCATTTGAAGATTCAAATGTTTCATCGAGATCAAAATTAGCTTTATGTTTTCGTATAATATTATAAAGTATACATGTGGTTAAAATTATACTAGTAGCATTGTTGGGGTCCGATTTCAGTCTTCTTGTATAAAACCTAAAAGTTTGAGTAAGAATTCCAAAGGCACACTCAACTAACCTTCTGGCACGCGATAACCTATAGTTAAATATCCTTTTTTCAATATCATGTGTCTGTGTTCCTGGAAAAGGTCTCATCAAATTTTTTGTTAGTGGAAACGCTTCGTCCCCGACAATTACATATGGAGCTACAATATCACTTCCTGGAAGTTTAGCATCATCTGGTAAATTTAATTTTCCTTTATATAATGCTTTCCCAAGTTTAGAACTCCCAAAAATTCCACTATCGCTATTTTTACCGTATGACCCAACGTCCACGGAAATAAAACGATAGTTAGCATCTACAAGAGCTAATAAAACTATCGAAAATGTCTTTTTGTAATTAAAGTATAAAGACCCACTCTTAGCAGGGGACTCGATCACTACGTGTTTGCCGTCTAGTGCCCCGAGGCAATTTGGAAAATTCCACATTGTCCAAAAATCTTTTGAAATTTTTTTCCAGTCACATTGATTTGGTGTTGGAATAAATTCTGATAACAAATTGTTGTTAATTGCATTACACACTTCTATAACTATATTTTGTACTGTTGAGTGTCCTAAACGATAACTGAAAGCAATTGTTTTGTATGAGTCCCCCGTTGCAAGAAATCTAAAACATATTTTAAAAATAAAGTGAGTAAGTGGATGTCACTCTGCTGTAGTAGATTATTAGTGGGTTACTGTGATGGATGATATTAGATCTGAATTTAATGATATATAATAATTTTATACGAAAAATGATTCTGAGCGAAGACGATTTGTCAGCTTATGATATTACTTGATAATATTATTGTCAGTTCATAATACTAATTTAATAATAATATCATTAGGTATATACTAAAATAATTTAAAATGTTAGTTTTATTAAAAAACGCATCTTATTGTACCTATTGTATATTGTTATTATAATATAGGTTCAGAGTGTAAAGAGAGATGGGAATCTTTAAGATCGCAATACCGTAAAAATGAAAATAAACAAAAAACTAAAAGTGGTCAAGCTGCGTCAAATATTTCAAACTGGAAGTACGCAAGTCAAATGCATTTTTTAAAGCAATTTATGAAAGATAGATCTCGTGTAACTTCAATGACTACAAGTAACGATTCTGATGAAGAAAAATCGGATGAGAGTACGAATGAATGTGAAATAGAAGCTAACAATAATGAACAAACAAATGAAAATAATAATGAAGAAAACGTTGACGAAGATGTTGATAAGGAAGTGACACAGACAAGTAGCTTCAAAACGCCCAAATTAAGAAAAAAAATAACCCATACAGATACCAAGGAAAGTGCTTCAACAACACTTATGAAATATTTGGTCCAACAAAAAAGAGAAGAACAACCTCCTCATCCAATCGATACTTTTTTTTCATTAATGGCCACAAGTGTAAAAAAATTTAATGCAACAGATCAACATTTCGTAAAAACCCAACTTTTTTCACTTGTAAGTGACATTGAAGCAAAATATATAGAGTCTCAAAACCGTAGAAACTTTCAACCTGAGTTTATTCATGGTCGTTCGTTACAGTCATCACCTGCTTTTTCCCAATATTCGGCTTTATCTACAAGTTCCTCATATAATGATAATTCTGGTCCTAATCAACAGCAAATAAATCCAATTCAAACTCAACCTCAAGTATATCCGGAAAATACTCAAACATTCGCTATGGCCTTCGCAAACGATTTTAATCAACTGAATAAATAAAATATCAATTGTTTTGTTACCTATAGGTGTACATTAATATATTAATATGAAATAACTAAAAGTTTTCTTATTATGTTAAATAAATATTGAGCAATCAAATGTACATGTAAAATATAACAATTTATCAAAAAATAAACTTTATTCCATTAAAAATAATAATTTGCATTGAATTTAGATTAATTAGTTGTATTCAATAATTTTAATTTTCATACCTAAGACATACAACTAATTTCTCTCTTGGCGTGATTGCTTCACGAAATGTTGTATCTTCTTTCTGGATATCTTTCTGTATTCTAGAAAGTATCATCTCAAACGTACCAGTGTTCATACGAAAATATCCATGAAACTTTTTTTCATCTTCCATTAAATGAGGTAACAACGTATAGAATTCTCCTTCTGTTTTTCTCTTTAAAAGACTCGGATGAATCCATATTCTTTTTCTTTTGAGGTGTTGACGTTCCTCTTCATTTTCCCGTTCTTCCTCGTCCAGGCAAATGGCAATCAAAGCCAACTGTTCCAAAGAAAATTTCGTAGCCATGAAAACAAAGTCTGTACCTTGTGATGATCAAGCAACAACTGACTAGACTGTCACTGTACTGTGACCATTCAAGTATGAACGACTAGGGACCGTGACTTGACCGTGACTGTTGCGTGATCGGACCGTTGCGTTACCTATAGTGTGAATAGTGCCTTAAGGGGATTCGATCCGGTGATTTAATAAGGGGTCGTGTATAGGCAATTCGATGTATTATAGTCGTTTCGCAGTGTGTTTGTGTGCGAAGTAAATGATCATTAGTGTGCGTAGATACGTTCGGAATCAGTGGTTCGCACCCGCATGCACATGTCACATAATAAAATATTTGTTCCAACGAGAAACTAATTTCAATCAATTGAGACCTAAAAGCCTGACAAAAATACGATAACTTAGAATGATCGGATTTTAGTTCTGTAAACATATTTGAATTCATCGTTCTTTTTTCTAGGTTATTGTGGGAGTCGATTTTTGAATAACTGTTTAACTTTTTAAAGAAAGACACAAACAATTTTCAAAAAATTGAGAAATCGATATATGATTTAACGTGAATTCTAAAAAAAATATCGAAAATTGATTCCCACAATAACCTAGGAAAATTGTCAATGAACTCGAATCTTTTTACAGAATTTAAATCTGATAATTCTAAGTAGGCGTATTTTTGTCAGGCTTTTAGGTCTAAATCATGAAATAAAGACGCTGGATCGAATCCCCTTAACAAAAACACGTAAAGTAAATATGTTAAAACTTTTTTATTTCATATTTGATGCTTTTATATAAGTACTTTGCAATTTTGCATAAGTAGTTAGTCAAATGTCAATAATTTAAATTTTACAATATGCCTATTTTAATTTAAACTAAATTATTTGTATAGGTTGTAAAAGTACTAAGAACTCAATCATATGCAGCCCTTTAAAAAAAAGAAAATATGAAATTATGTATTCTTGACATAGGTACAAGGCGGAATTCTACATATCTTATGTTATTACGTTTAATAATTGAGCTTAAACCTTTTTGTACGGACCACCAACTAATTAATACCTACAGATTTATTTTTGAGTACACGAGATTGGAATCGTATTGATAATTTGGTAATCAAAGCAATAATTATGAATTCATACTATTAATTACTAACTCACTTATACATGTCAGTATCTAATTTAAATATTGTTTTTTCTAGTACCGTTGTTTGATTAGGTAAAATCCCTTCAACCAGCATTTTTGTGTACTAAATTGTTACAAAAAAAAGATTTAACACTGAGGGATTTCTATGCAATTTGGATTCAAACACAAAATAAATTAAATCTAATCAATACATATATTTAAAAATCTGTTTTGCATTTTATGAAGATTCGCCAAGACAAATTATTAGAAAATGATGTTTTTATTGCAAGTAAGTAGCAAGTTGCTACTAGCAACTCAATATATTTATAATTTATAAGTGATTGATAACTCAGATAAGTTTACTAGAACAATTATCTTGTAAAGTAATGCAAAGTAAACTATTATGATTTATACATTTATAATTTAAAATATAAAGAAAATTGCTTAATAATCAATTATTTTGCATCCATTTATTTAGATCCTCGTTATTTGTGCCTACTAAATGCTGCTACTAAAAAAAAAAACTGTTAGTCATCTGCTTACAACATGGTCACTGAAAGAGTCCCTTTCGTTTGCAATAGCAATAGAGGTTAGTAAGAAATAAAAATGTGTGATAATTTTTATCTTTTAATTGAAACTAAATAAAGTTAAAATGCAGTAAATTAACTGAATTTAGACAGTTATGAAAATACATTGGATGTATATTCAATATTCATTTTAATTCAAAGTAGCTCATAGAAATCTTAGTAAATGGTTTGCATAATTACTTTGTTCAAATTTAGCTTCAACAAGTTAAATTAATAAATTGTAACAATAAATATAATATTATTTTAGAATGCAATTTCAACTTAAAAATATTTGATTTCAGAATTCAAATAAAGAATTGGTTGAGCCAGCAGCCCTAGATGACCATTCTAATTCTTTAGAAAAGAAACAAGTGTCATCACAGATGATTTTGAAGAGTTTATAAGAACAACTTCACAACCTATCTACAGCTAATAGCATTTACCTCAATAATTCAATTAATGATATAAAAAAAAAAATGAAGATTTTCCAAACATTGATCGAGTTTATTATAAGGAAAATGTGGTTCAGTATTGGTTGGCAACGAAAAATGAAATGCCTCAGTTATTTGAACTTGCAGAAATTGTTATGGTGGTACTAGCTTCTCGGGTAAATTGTTCTTGTGCTTTTAAAGTTTTAAATGTATGTACTATGTACCTACATATTAATTGAGTGAAATGGTCATATATTATATACTAAGCATTAAACACCATTGTTTTTTTTAAATTACTTATATTAATGTTAATTAATTAATCACTTTAGGTGAGCATGGAACGCAGTTTCTCAGGACTTAAGTTCATTTTTGTCAGACTTAAGATCTTCATTATCCAGTCAAATGTTGGAAAACATTTTGATAATACGTGGAAATAGCTTATAATTTATTAATATAAGTCTGTTTAAATAATTTCTATGGAATAACTGCTCAATAAAAATTTATAAAATACACTAAAGACTAAACAATATATTGTTATTTATAAACATCAATAATTATAGATGCAAATTACAACTTCATTACATCTATAAAATATTAGTTGTAAATTACAACTATTTAGTATTTTTTATTATTACATTTTTGAGCTAAAAAGTTTAGTACCTACCCTATTGCAAATAGCAACACTAATTGGTAATTTATTATATTAATGAGAAATGACTTATAAAGTTGTAGGTATTGAACATTACAAATGTTTAAGCTGCTATTTAGGTTAACTAAATACTATTTTGCATACACACTTCAAGCAGTCAAGGGAGTAATATAATTAGAATTTATTAAACACATTTTCTACCTAATTCGAGTAATAAAATATATAATGGTATATACAGATTAGTGTAAATTTATTAATTTGTTGATCTTTGCCACATCGATAAAATCAAATATTTAAGTTACTTGATCGTCATAATTAAAAGGTGATTTTGAAAGGCTTTAATATAGATACTTGTATATTTTAGAAAATTAAGGTTTCGGAAATATAGTTAATATATATTAGACTAGGTAGGTACGTTATGTTATTTGGTATTAGCAAGACTTAAACAGTTAACCTAACTATTAATTAATCATAGAAATAATAAACTAGGTATAGGATCAATGGATCATAGTCATAATGTAAACATTCAAATTAATAATTATGTATATTCTTATAACGTAAATACTATACAGAGTATGACAGAATATATGAAAAAAAAAAGAAAATTAAATATGTCCATTTATGTTCAATTATTACCTTATAATCGTTAGTGATCAAATGTGTACCGATTATTAGGTATTTTTTCATTGCTCAACATTTTAAAAAACCTAAAATATATATAGATCTATTAGAACCTATTATAATAATTAAAAAATATAAAATGTATCAAAAAAGGATGATGAAAGGATTGCTGAATCAAAAAACTTGACAATTTACCAATAAGTCATTTCATATTAGAAGTTCAAAAGTAATAAACATATAAAAATTAAAGGCACACATTTTTTTATGAGCATTTTAAATTCAAATTTTGACGAAATCCATCATAATCGCGAACATTATCAAATTATTTTGTATTTAAAAATGTATATAATGTTCAATTTTTATAGCTAAGAACTAAAAGTCCCCCCAAGCCCCCCCCCCCATTTCCGCCTATGCTCGTATACATTATAAACTTATAATATAACGAGCCCATGGCTGATGAGCCTTTCGCTGATAAATTATTTAACTAAAAGCTGTTTTTGAATAAATCTAGCTTATCAAATCTATCCTAAGTACACCTATAATTGTATAATTAATTTTAATTAATGCAATCTAAACTACGACCTGCAGTCACGTCTTAATTGGTTGACGGAATATCACTTAAGGCCGATCGCACACCAAAAGAGCAAAACTGCGTTAGACAGTGTTAGTCATTTTCGTCAGTCAACTAAAAACAATTTGTTTTTATAAAATGCACACTACCTAGACAAAACAAAAATCAGTTGTCATCATGTCATCTGATGAAGATGTAGCGATTTGCATGTGGTACACATTACAAAATTTAGAACAGAATCATAAAAAAAAAAATGGTATGGATTCATCCGTTAAATAAAAAACGTATCACTCATAATGTAATTTTAACTTTACTATGCGAACTACGTTCAGACAAAAGTAAATTTAAAAATTATACACGTGTAAGTAGTGTTACATTTGATTTTATACTGCAAGAAATAGGAGAAGAAATAAGGAAAGAAGATACAAATTTTAGAAAAAGTATTTCTCCGGAGGAAAGGCTTTTGGTTACACTGAGGTAAGAAACCTAATTGTTTTTTTTAATCATTTTTATTTTTTAATAAATATAAAATTAATCATAATATATTTTTTTAAATAGTTAACAAAGTGAACTTAAACTTATAAATCTATTTTGTAGTTAATTAGGTTTTTAATTTGTTTATATTATAACTTATATATTAAAAAAAAAATATCATCTGAATGAATTGTTACTTCCTTGTGAAGACGAAGATAAATCCGAAGCAAAATCACTGTAATAATTGTTTACATTTTGGTTTTGATTAATTTGTTGATCTGTGTTTTGTCCTGCTATAAAAATCATATTTTGGTCCATGATAGGTCTGGCTTGATATAAATGATTACTCTGATGTTCAACTGGTCTAGGATACATATTATTTATATTGTTTTGAAATGAAGCTATTTGATTACTGTCTTTTTGTTCATCAAGATAACTATTTAAAGACGACATAACTAAATTTTTGAATTTCCTTTGATTTTTATCATTAAGTTTTTTATAGCCTGGAATAAGGCTTTTAAAAAATAACAATTCTGGAGGTTCCTCAACTGGTGCTGGCTTTGTAGTTCTTGATTTCAAAAATTCTATCATCGGTTCTGCTACCTTGCAACTTGCTGTTGTTTTATATGCATTTTTACGTAAAGTTAATTTTGGTTTTTTAAACATTGGTTCAATAATGTCTCGTTCACTCTCCATTACTGTATTATCTACTATATTATCTCCTGTATTTCCTACTACTAATGTATCATCTTATTCAGACTCTACGATTTCTTCGGATTCATTTATATAATCGTTATCGATGTTGCTACCCATTTTTTTATGCTGCATCATAAAACCAGTTAAAAAACTCATACTATCAAAAAGGTACCATTTTCTTTTTTTAGAACCAGCTGACCCAGATTTTTTATTTTTGAGTTCACGAAGTTCCCTTGCAAACGAATTACGAAGACTAGTCCACTTACTTTTGCATACCGACACTATAAAAACCAATACAAACATTTCACAAAATAATCATTCAATGGCGTACAAAGAATATGTTTACAATTATGATTAATAACAATTTATACATATACAATTATGTACATTTCAATATTCAACATACCTACTATTAATTTTTTTTTTAAAACTAATACATACTTCGTTTAATTAAGAATTTATTATGGTTCATGTAAAAAAAAGTTAAAAATTGGTAATTTATTTAAACATTTATTTTTTAGTTTTTTAGCTTCTGGTGAACATTTTCAACGCATCCATTATAAACTTAGATTAAGAGCTACCACTGCGGGTAAAACTGTCAATGATACATGTTGTGCATTATGGAAAATACTATCGCCACAGTTTATGCTTCTACCTTCGACTGATGGTTGGTTGAACATTGAAAAATAATTTGACAAATTTTGGAATTTTTCTAACTGCGTAGGTGCCATAGATGGCAAACATATAGCTATTCAATGTCCACCAAATTCAGGATCTAGTTATTACAATTATAAAGGACACCACTCTATTATTCTTCAAGCAGTAGTTGACGCCAACGCAAAGTTTATATTCATAGATGTAGGTGATTTCGGTCGTAACAGTGATGGGGGAATTTTAAAAGAATCAAATTTTGAAAAACTATTGGACAATAATAAACTGATTTTACCTCCACCGAGAAAAATTCATGAAGAAGTCGAAGATGAATTCCCATTTGTCTTTGTTGCGGATGAAGCGTATCCGTTAAAAAAAAATTTGATGAAGCCATTTGCAAGAAAACAATTGACAAATCCGAAGCGAATTTATAACTATCGTCAATCACGAGTGAGAAGAATAGTAGAGTGTGCTTTTGGCATTCTAACAAAACGATTTAACGTATTTGAAAATAAAATGTTAGTTAATCCGGAGAAAGCTACAATCATAACTCAAGCTGCTTGTGTACTTCACAATTTAATTATGGACAAAGAACATAATCTAACTGATATTCATAATGAAATGGAAACCTCGTCACGGGTAAACCAAGAAGACATCATCAACAAACCTACAAATCACAGACCACTAAGAGAAGCTATAGATATTCGTGAAAAGTTTATGAAATATACCAACTCTGAAAAAGGATCAGTTCCATGGCAAAATGTATATACTGTTTAAATACCTAAGCTAAAATTGTTTGTTTTAAATAAATAATTTTTTTAAATAAAAAAAATACTGTTGTGTTGTGAAACGTTGACAGTACACATTTTTAACGACAGTTATGTTGTTTTAAATAAGTAATGTTGTTTTTAATGTTTTCAACTCCGTAAAAGTATACAATTTGTAATTTCTTATGTAATAATAATGATTCAATAATTTAATAACTTAATAATACTTTATAACTAATATATTCAAATTACCATCAACATTCATTTCTTTACTTATTTCTTCCCATAACTTGTCTTGCACAATTCGATTGCTATGGTCCTTGTCTCCAAAATCATAAATGGATGGTCTTATTTCCACTAAACTTACTAGTATTTCCCCATCACAAGCCATTTTGTGATAAGTATATAAAAAATATATACAAAATACAAAATACACACGAATAATATTCTTTCTTGTCTAGTTGTGACTAACGAAAAATGTGGACACTCAGACAGTATCAGTCATGACTAATTGTGATTTAAAGCAAAAACGTTTTGTTTTGACTATGTCTTATTAATGTGCGTATGCACTATGCAACGTAATTTCTTATGTTCTATTTTTAACAAAACTGTGTTAGGCTGACTAACACTGTCTAATGCAGTTTTGCTCTTTTGGTGTGCGATCGGCCTAACGCGTGAAACTTAGCACCCGAAGTACTCGAAGTGTGGAATTATATGGAAATAGTTTTAATTGAAAAATTATACTCAATATGATATGGAAAACTGACCTCCTATTGATTTTACGTGCGTTGTGTTATCGTTCAAGTTTTCATCTGACACGGACCGAAAACTTTTCGATTCCGTATCGGGCATAGTCCGAAAACTTCTCGATTCCGCATCGAAAAACTTATCATTTTCGTCCTATTAATATAAATAGATACTATATTATTATATTATGGGTAATATTCTTTTTCACAAGAGAACGGGACAGTTTCACGCATGTAAAATGATTCAATTTACTTGAACACGTGGACGACCACTTGATCACGCTTACAACGATGTGCGGCGGCAAACGAGTTTTGGGAGCCATCGGTACCGTTCTCTCGTGAAATGGAGTATAGTCTGTGTTACAATATTTACAACGCATATATAAAATATTTGTATGTCCTACCCATGTTATACATCATATTATTACTACGTCCCTTTAAAATAATAACACAGTAAAAAAATGTTTGTTTATACAAAATGTGTATCAAGTTGCTAGCAACACACATTATAATAACACCATTTTGTGTTTAAATCTACACCACATTACTTGTAAATTTACAATCATATCGAAGTTGAATAATTAATGTATTAACCTATTTAATGTGTAAAATTATCAGTAGGTCCATAGTTGAAGTTTACTCATATTTATGATTTGTAAATTTAATTATCAATATGGGTTGCAATTTACCAACATCATAATATATTACCTATTTGACTTGTAATTATTTCATATTAGTTACAGATTAATAGTTAAATGTACAAGTTAAAAGTTAGTGAATTTCAACTGTTACTAATACTTAAATGTACAAACTCATAAGTGTAAATTGGCACTTATGGTAAATATATATATTAGGGTGACAATAAAAAAAAAAAAATTATTTCTGAAAGTCCCACCCGCTTAAATTGTTTATCCATCTAATAACAACGTTCATAAAAAATTTCAAGAAAAAATTTCAATTTTTACTGGTTGCGCAACTTGTATTAAAAAAATAATAGATATTTCAGTGTATGAATAAAAAAAAAATATATTTAATAATTAAAATAATATAAAAAAAGTTATAGATCATCATAATATTGTATAAACAATAATCATCACACAAAATGTCAATCATCGACTGTAGATTTATTTGGATTTGGATACTTCTGTCGGTGTTGTTCAACTACTTGCAAAAGATACTGCTTTTGTTCTTCTTGATTGGTTATTATCCCATTGAAAGTTTGAATCAACGAAATCCCACGTTCAGCTGCATCGTTAACTACTTTCAGATGTTGAACCCTTTTACAACCGTCAATGAAATCTTTGTTATTTTCCCAAGTATCTGGATTCTGATTTAGGAAATCTTGGGGAATGTCCAAGGCTGTAAATAATATGAGGCTATTTTTAGAAACAAAATCACTGTTTGAACTGCAGTCGTCTCAACTGTAATACGCCGTAAAGGAAAGTCAGCTCCTTTTTTCACTAATGATTCAACCATATTAACTTTCATCTCAGAAGAAACTTTGCTGTCAAAAAAGGCTAATCCAATAAGTGTCTCACTTAAGTACCATAAATGTCTTGAGAAGCTTTTGGCAGCCGCGTTGCCTATAACTATATTTAATTTTTTATAGTTATCGAGTTCCTTTAAAAGATTAAGATCGTTATAAGGAGCTAGTTCTCCACTAGATGCAGTATACCAGTACTTAATATAAACTTGTATGACAAAAACGTTGAAGGCCTCAAGTGCAGATAATTCTCTAGCAGTTAGTTTGAACTGCGATCGAAATAAGAAAATTTTCAAGCTATGAATTAACTTTGCCATCCATCTAGCTCGATGTAAAGCGCCAGGTCTACGAATCTTAAAATCTTTAGCAGTTTTATCTCCTAGGAATATTAGGGAAAGTTGCAGCAATTCCTTGTAGTCATCTCTAGGCTGAAATGTCGCTAACTGGTCATTGATTAACTTGACAAGAACATATTTTTGTGGATTTAATTTACTAGCCACAGTATCTTCAATTATTCCACTTTCGTATTTGTCTACGTCAATTTCGTTCCACTTTTCTGCAAATCGTTGAAATATTTTGATATTAGGACCACTTGAAGCTCCCATTACCGCATTAAACACACTCTCAATAATAAGTTCCAGTATGTGGTGTCGACATGCTAAACTGAGGAGGTCTCTTTTCATTTTTTTTTCAAGAAGTACACACGCACCGGCCTTTATTCCACTGTTACTTGCTGTTGTATCAAAGGACATAAAATTAATGCGTTCAATTAAATTCCATTCTTCAAGTAACTCAAACACTGCAGTTGCTTGGGCTTCCCCAGTTCCATTTGGAATTTTCGGCACACCAAGTAATTTCATAATACCATCCCCTGATACTATAACTGCTAGGCGATCAACTTTATCTTTTGAAGTTAAATCTGGAAGTAATTTTCCGTCCCAATGGACTGTCAATGGAATAGTCGTAACAAATGAAGTTTTTATTTCATCAGCAATTTTTTCTCGATATTCTCGACGAGCTTGTCTTATTGACTCTCGATTAAGGGTGAAATTGTGTATATTATGCCCTAATGATTGTACTGTAGCTGATAAAACATACATTGCATTTCGATCACTTACTTTCGTTCTATCTAGAGCAGACGCTACTCTAGAAGTTACAATAGTTGAATTAAATAAAGTATTGACCTTCGTGGGACTATTATTTTTTTTTAACCTCTTGCTGGAGGGTACATACAACTCATCATTATCACTACTGCTGCATTGAGAATCATCACAATCAATATTATTATCATGAACATTTGACATTTGTTCGTCTTTTTTTAAACGTTCAGTCTCTTTTTTTATTTTCAACTCATTTTGAAGCTGTCGCTGTTTGGTTCGCTCTTCTTTTTTTGAAAGTTTCGTATCAATTGGACCCATGCTTCCACGTCTTCCTTTCTCTCTCTGAGCAAGAAGAAACTCTTTGTCTTCTTTTATAGATATAAGAGTCAAAGCATCTTTATGAGCAATATCAAATAAATTGTCAAAGTCACTGACGAAAACAGATTCCGCTTCTAATTGTTTTGATGTTCGTCGTGAAGCACTTTTTTTAATACTCTGCCACTTACAGTGTATTTTTTTTATTTTTTCAATAACGTGGCATTCTTTTTGAGTGGGAATTTTAGCTTTTTCCCAAAAAGCACTAACTTCTCTCGCTGTAATTGTAGCACTAGATTGAATAGTTTTTTTTTCGTATTTGTGCAAATGAAAAAACCGGTGAAGCATTTGTTTATTAGACGGAAGTTTACTGCCGGTGATGGATTCAAGTGTCCCCCCAATTAACCAAATTCCACGATCTTTACTAGTGCTAGCCATATTATATTAATATCTAAAATATATTATATACAAATGTAATAATACTTACATAAATTAGTGAACAAAAAGACTCAAATAAAACTTGAACGTACGAACTGGCTACTGACGTACCTACTGCGTATTGACGGAACAACATACACGAGACGATACCAATAAAATATACGAGTAATATTCACGACAAAATAATAATCATTACTATAACAATGTTAACGTGTGAACCGGTGTACTACGAATGATGTGTAATCGGCGAGTAACCGTCGATAACGCTAGCGAAATTGCGATATCCATGCTATTAATAGCTTCGGAACATAAAAGTGTTGCGCGACCTCTAAATATCAACCGAATGAAATATAACTTTCACAAAGTATATATTATTATATCAAAATAAACATTTAAGGTGGGTGGGAAAAAAGAAATATTAAATTTTTTTTTTTTCTATGTATTCGATTGTCACCCTAATATATATATACGGCTATACCTATCTAAGCTAAAAAGTATGGAATCCTTCTGTGCAAAACCTGATATGTCCCCTTTTTCAAAAAAGTATTTTGACTGTGGTTTCCTGATCAGGAAATAAAGCTACACATTTCGGTGTAACAAATCGTTATGTCCGATTATTAGTTAAGGAGATAATATAAGCAAAATGGACTTACCAGGTTATTACATTTCAGAGCAAGAACGGGGTAAGGAAAGGAACGGAAAGGTATGTACTCCAGACACTTTTTGCTCCTTAACTAATTAATATGTTAGTTATACTAAAAATGACAAATATTACAGAATTTAAACGTTTATTGTTATAATATAAACCTTTTTTTTTTTTGTTTGTAAATCACGGCGATACAAGGGGGCACTTCATCCGGAGATAGTCCTTTACTGCAGCTCATTCCCGCAGAGAGCACCATTCCCGCATACACCTTAACCGTATCCAGTACTGCGCTTTCTCGAGCATTGTCGCCCCTACTGTATCTGGTTCCATCCCTGCTCCAATTTTCACTTCCAGCTTTCTCTATGTCACCACCACCTGTCACACCTGAACAAGGTGTGTTCTACATCATCCATCGGTGATCCACAATCCACGCACGCCGGGTCATCCCGCTTTTTGTACTTATGTAAATAGTATCCGAAACACCCGTGTCCTGTCAGCATTTGAGACAAATTGAAATCTGTCTCGCCAAATCTTCTGTCTATCCATTTCCTGACATCGCCGATCAGCCTCTTAGTCCATATTCCCGTCTTGGTTGAGTTCCACAGCGACTGCCATTTTCTATACGTCGATACTCTCAACATCCCCTTTTCGACTATTGACCCTTCTTTCAGCGCCTTGAACTTACATTGTTGCTCCATCGCTTTTAGATGCACTGGTACCATACCAGCGACTACTAAAATATCATTCGTAGAGACCGTACGATATGCCTTGGCTACTCTCAGTGCCATTCTTCTCTGCGGTCTCACAAGCGTTTGGATTTGGTCTCGAAGATCAATGCATCTGCCCAGACCGGGGCTGCGTAAAGCAGTTGATTTTGCACTGCCCCTGCCACGACTTTCCTCTTCCACTGTCTAGCCCCTCCCATGGAAGAATTTTCGTCAGGGACTCGGCAGTGGCTACTGCCCGCTTTGCCACCGTCTCTATGTGGTTCTTTGATAGTTGTACTCCTAGGTATCTGAGGTTGTCTTTCGGCTCCACGGCTACCCCCTTCACCGAGAAGACAGGTATTTCGTAGCCCCTTTTTTTTTAGTGAGGATGACCGAGGCGGTCTAACCGGTTGAAAGGGTTAGTCCCGCATTGTCCATCCAATCCGCTACCTTCGCCAGCGCGTTATTAGTCACATCTTGCAGTATACGGGTGGTGCGGCCCGTCGAAACCACCGCCACGATGGTCCGCAAATGCCCCCAAGGATGTAGAAGATATGCCCTCCACATTACCACCAGTATCTATTCTGAGGAGACCATCATACATGAGGTTCCATAGTAACGGACAGAACCCTGCGGGACGCCGCATGAAATTTACCAACCTTTTCCCTCGTACTTTACTTCCCTGTTGCTAAGGTAGCTCTGCAGGATGTTAACGAGATACTGGGGGAACTGTCTTTCACGCACGGCCGTTAATATTTTGTCCCATCTCGCCGAGTTGAAGGCGTTAGCCACATCCAAAGCAACCACAACGCACAGCTTCCTCTTATACTATGGTCCCGATCCAGATTTATCTACCGTATCCATCACCTTTTGAATGGCGTCAACAGTGGAGCGCCCTTTCCTAAAGCCAAACTGCCTGTCGTTGAGATCCTCACTCTCGCTCAGATGCTTCTCTAAGTGCCCCTTTATTAGCCTCTCGAGTAGCTTACCAATAGTATTTAACAGACAGATTGGTCTATAGGAAGACGGGCTTCCAGTGGTTTATTACCTTTCCGGAAAAGCACCAGGCCGGCCACCTTCCACGGGACTGGGAAGAGGCTATTCCTGAGTAGGCTGTTAAACGTATACCGCAGGATCTCTGGTCTCATGTTGGCGACTTCTCTTATTGTTATAATATAAACCTACATGATATTATGTATTATATTTTGTTTACCTCCAAGACTACTTCCATATTTTTCATTCCATATCCATGGGTAGTTGGTTTTTTCTCCTTGACAATAGGAAAGACACTCCTGCTATACCGACGCAAGCGAACAAAATTCCTATCAAAAATTCTTTCGAAAAATACATTTTACAGCGAATAGGGTTCAACGTACAACAAAATAATATTTTATTATGAGTACTCTTTTCATTAGTAAACCGTAGTGATGTACATAGATAACATTAATATCGTGTTATTATATATCGTGTTACCTTGATATTTAAACAATTCAACCAGATAATATATTATTATAACAAGCAATATTATCGTTTAATTTATAAAGTCTTAGATTTTTGTCGAACTGCGCTCACAAATTATCGTTATGAAAATCTGAATATGCATCCCGGGTCCCAACTGAGTAGGGCCTCATGCCACCCATATACATTTGAAAAAATGTTTTTTGAAAAAAAGTTAAACCAAACCATAACACTTATTCAATTTAGCGGGATTATAGAGATTTCTGTTATAATATATTGTCATACAACAGATTTTTTATAACGTTCTTTTTATAAGATTTTTTAATAAACATTTTCATCAATTTTTTTTAACAGAGATTTCTGTTATAACAAATTTTCATAAATAAAAGAAAAAAATAGTAAAAAGTCTGATAAAATATTTCTATTTTTTAAAAAATTCAAATTGTTAATAAAAATTTAGATTCTTAAGATTCAATAAAATATTTATTAAAGAAATTGGTAAAAAAGTTTTATAAAAAAATGTTATTAAAAAAATTCATATTTTATATCAAACATAAATTCAATAAACTTATTTTTATATAATATTAATTTTTTATCAAACTGATTTTTATCAATCTTCAAGATGGTGTTTATGAATTTTTTAACATATTTTTTATTCATTTTTTAACAAACAGAATTTTTATTAAGATTTATATTCAATAATATTTTAATAAAATATGAATTTTTATCAAACATTTCATATTAACATTTTTTATTAAATATAGATTGAATTTATGTTTTTTTATAAAATATGAATTTCTTTAATAACATTTTTTATAAAACTTTTACCAATTTTTTTAATAAATATTTTATTGATTCTTAAGAAACTGAATTTTTATTAACATATATATACAATTTGAATTTTTTAAAAAATATAAATATTTTATCAGACTTTTTATTAATTTTTTCTTTTATTATGAAATTTTGTTATAACAGAAATCTCTGTAAAAAAAAATTGATGAAAATGTTTATTAAAAAATCTTATAAAAAGAAGGTTGATAAAAAATTCATATTTTATAAAAAAACATAAATTAAATCTCTATTAAATAAAAAATGTAAAATGTATGATAAAAAAATGTATATTTTATAAAAAATTTAAATTGAATATAAATTTTAATAAAAATTCTATTTGATAAAAAAAAATAGCTAAAAATCTATCTGATAAAAAATTCAATTTGAATATAAATGTTAATAAAAATTCAGTTTGTTAAGAATCAATATAAAAATTGTTTATAAATTTTATTAAGTAAAAAATGTTTGATGAAAAAATCATACTTCATAAAAATATAAATTGAATATAAATCTTATAAAAAATTCAGTATATTAATGGAAATATCCTTTGTTCCTTTCAAAAATTTAGAAATATCTGTGGTTTTAACTGGAAATTCAATATCCTTTAGTTCATCCTCAAATTCATTTTCCCATTTTTTATATTTAGATATTCTTTGTTTATTTGTTTTAACATCTTTACTATGTAAAGCAGAGAGTAATGACCAAACAAAACATTTATTATCTTTATTTTTAACATTTATAATAGCATGTTTATCTTTAATATGTTTGGGTAATTTAATGAATGAAGAACCTTTAAAAGGAACATATTTATTTATATTTATTCCCAAACTTAAAATTTGATGAAATCTCCATTGAGAATTCTTCATTACAAAAACTTCAATTTCATTTACAATTTTAATTTTTTTCATTAAAATTATAAACGCTATGTGGTTGGGGTATTATCTCTGGTCTTGGCTTGGTCTAGGTCTTGGTATTGATCTTATACCATTGTTTTGATGACGAATAGACTGCAAATTTTAAGACCAACTGTTGTATTTAACTATTAAATTACAAATATCACAAGTTTTAACTGTTCTTGGTATTCTTGGTCTTATACCATTGTTTTTATGACAACGGTATTAGATTTACTTGAGAGCCTGTATCCAGTTTAAACTCCACGTCCTTTCCATTGATTGGAATTGCTTCCTTCCATGTGTTTTGTTCATCAACTGTTTCGACTGTATAGACTTTGGATACTTAATTTATTCCCACCAAGTGATGAATACCTGATTCTTCATCTGTTTCTGAATCTTCACTTTGCATGACCATTTGGACTTTTAGATATTTTGTTTTACTAAAACAACCAGCTGCAAAATGATTTTTTCGGCCGCAAATCTTACATCTTAATCCAAAGGCGGGGAATTTAAATTGTTCATGTTCTGTTCCACATTTTATACAGTCATATAACTTACTGGAGTTACTCGTTTCTGACCTGGGTGTTTGGTTTTCACTTGTTTTTCCATGCCAACTCGATTTTGAATAATTATTTTTCTTCTTCGAGAAGTTCTTTTGTCTGTTTCCATATTGAATTACATCAACTTCCGCTTTATTTTCATTATTCATTTGTCGGACCTGCTCTTTAGTCTTCTCGACCTGATTTATCAGTAATATTGCTTTATCAAGCTTCATATCTGGAATACTAATTAATCTCTCTTGCAATCCTTGGTCTCCGACATTCAACACTAGCTGGTCCCGTATTATGGACTCTTCTAGTTCCCCATACTCACAACTAATAGCTTTTAGTTTTAATTCAGTTGCAAAATGTTCAATTGTCTGTTCTTCTTTTCGTTTATGCATTAAAAAACAGTACCTTTCATAAACTATTTTTTTTTTTACCAGTGCAATGTTGTGTAAACATCTCTATCACTTTATCATAATCCTTGATTGTTTCACTCTTAAACGTGTTATAAATGTTTATACCATCAACGTCAACAAAATAGCAATCTTCGTTTCACTATTTTTGATTGATTTTTCCGTTGCCAATATATAGTTGTTAAAACGCTGGTACCACGTTTTCCAATTAGCTTCCAAGTTACCTGTTGCAGTCAGCTCCGGCGGTACTTTTAAGTCCATTTTCAAAACACAACTAATAGCACACTATAACACGATTTAAACAACTTGAGAACTCTAATTAACCAAAAAAACACCGTAAAATCACCAAAAACGTTTTCTGTCCGCAGCGCCATGTTGTATCTAGTATACACGACAAGTGCTGGTTAACAACTGAACTTTATTAACTGATAACAATAATGATATTACAATAAAGATAAGAATAATAATAATACAACAAGTATTGTCTTTTAAGCCGGGTTTACATTGGTAGAGTATTTGGTAGAGTACACTAGCCTACTATTTTGCCTACTCACTCTACTCTACTAGTTTTAGTAGAGTAACTGTTTACACGAAGCTAGTATTTAGTAGAAGAGTGTGTAGTTGATGTGTAAACTCACGCCGTCACGGTTAGGTTTGATCAACTTCAAAACATCAAATAAACAAATATGGATATCGTACGTCGTCGTCATTGTCGAAAATTATTAAAGAAATGCCTTCGAGTGGTTACAAATTTTAGAATTCATTGATGAGAGTAATGAAGAAAAACGAATTTGGGTTCGAGAGTGGATAAAAAGAAGAACAGTACTTGGCGCATCAGAAAATCTTCTTACTGAACTAGCTTTAGAGGATCCAGAAGAGTACAGGCTGTGTTTAAGAATGACAACTGAAAATTTTGAACAATTATTATATTTGGTATCAACAACTATTCAAAAACAGGACACTATTCTTCGAGATGCACTACCAGCGCGCATTAAGCTACAAATAACATTGAATTATTTAGCGACTGGTAATAGTTACCGAACCCTACAACATTTCTTTAGAGTGTCAATTCCCGCAATATCTAAATTTTTACCAGAAGTTTGTGACGCCATTTATCAAGCCCTAGAACAATATATTAAGGCATTTTTCTTTAAAATTATTTCGTACTTAGGTACAGTATATTTTATTATACAGTATGTCCCAAAAGTCCCGTATCACCCTTAATATCTCCATGTAAATTCTGATTGAATGGCATAAAATTCATTTATTTTTTTTTTAAAATTCAAAAATTTTCAAAAAAATTTTTTACGCATTTAAGAATTTAAAATTTTTAAGATAGCCATTTTGTTAAGCATATTTTTTAAAACAGTTCAAAAAAAAAAATACTAAAATTTAATAAAAATTGACCAAGTTAGAGCAAGTTATGTTTTTGAATAATTGTAGTAAAAAAATAAATTATTGTTTCACATTTCAATAATGAAATATCTAATTTCAGCACACGACAATACTTTTACATTCCTAATTAAAGTTTTGATTTGAATAGAAATAAAAATAGCCGTGTTATATCGTTTGCTGGACAGTGAAACTGGTTACCTATTTTTAAGTATTTTAATTATCATGAAGTGAACCTAAAGTTACGATATTGGACATAATCTTACAGTTATAATTAATGCGATTTATAATAAAGATAGAGCTAGTTGAGTAGAGTATGTTTATAAATAATTGTAATAATAGTTAGGTAGGTATGCTGTTTTTAATGGTAATCTGTAAACATCTAATTATTAGTGGAGCTTTTAGGAAAGATTAAAATTAAAATTCAGATAATATTTTTAAACTTGATTGCTTATAAAAAAAAGATTTTATTACATAAAAACGAAAATAATTCATTACATTTTTATTTTTATAAATGTTCAAAATGACCTCCATTGTTTGCAACACAGAGTTGAAGTTTTTCGACCCAAGCGTTCTTAACATTTCCTAATGTCTCGGGTAAGATATTTTGAATATTTTGTTCAATTTTATGGCAAAGATCAGGCAATGAACACGATGGATACACAACATTTTTCAAATAACCCCATAAAAAAAAATCCATCGGTGTTAAATCGGGAGACCTAGGTGGCCAAAGCACTGGACCCCTTGTTCCCATCCATCTTCCCGGGAAGTGCTCGTCCAGCCAACCTCTCACAATATTTGAATTATGTGCTGGTGCACCGTCTTGCATAAAAATTGGCTCTATTCCGTTTGTATTAATTAACTGAGAAATTATTGGCCACACACTTTCTTCTAATAAATCTCGATACTTTTCTCCGTTTAAATTACCTTCTATAAAAAAGGGTCCAATGATCTGCTTATTCCAAATTCCACTCCAAACATTTAATTTTTCTATATTTTGGGAATGAAATTCTATGGATTCATGTGGGTTTTCGTCAGACCAGTGATAAGTCCAGTGTCTACTTGTTTGCCCATTTCTAATAAAAGTAGATTCATCAGTAAAAATGAATTTATCTATAAATAGTGGGTCCTGACTAATTCTATGTAATGCCCATTCACAAAATTGTAAACGCCTTTCATCACCCGCATGAAACTGTTGAACAAATTTTGTTTTATATGCTTTTATTTTATTTTTTTTGAGAATTCTATGAACGGATGATTTGCTCACTCCAGCCTCCACGCACCTATGACGTACGGATAATTTTGGAGCTACAGCTACACTTCCAAGAATGTTGATGGTGTTATCTACGTTTGTAACACTTTGAGATCTACCTGGTCTATTTCGTTCATTGACATTACCTAAGAGTTAAAATTAAGTTATTAAAAAAATTATGAAATCAATAAAATAATTCAATAATAGGTACACAGCCTAACACAAACTACCTAATATCCACGTAATATTTAGCTTATTGTAGTAAAAAATTAATTTCTTAGAAATATGTACAGTGGACACCACGTCACCTATAAGACTTATGGATATAAGGTTCAGTCGCCTATTAGACTAAATCGTCTGAAATGGTTCGAACGTATCCAAATACCAAAATTTGCAACTTTATTATAAATTTGAGAATAATGCAATTTTACCTGTTTCAAAAAATCGAGACATTAATCTGTTGATAACATTGTACGATGGTTTATTACGATCAGGATACTCAATTCCATAACTATAAGCAGCTTGTCTGTGACTTTCGTTGTTTCGGAAGTAACATTTCACCATATCAATGTACTCATGTACTGAGAATGTATGAGTCATTTTAAATATTGAATGAAATAAGTAAGAAATAAGAAATTATAGTTAAAGACACAGTACGTACTGTACGTATGACACTAATAGCAGTAATAGTTATAAAGAAAGAACACAAGATAATAATTTTAATTATAATTTACCAAATTGCGATATGCGTAGGTATTAGTACTATAAATCGCATTAATTATAACTGTAAGATTATGTCCAATATCGTAACTTTAGGTTCACTTCATGATAATTAAAATACTTAAAAATAGGTAACCAGTTTCACTGTCCAGCAAACGATATAACACGGCTATTTTTATTTCTATTCAAATCAAAACTTTAATTAGGAATGTAAAAGTATTGTCGTGTGCTGAAATTAGATATTTCATTATTGAAATGTGAAACAATAATTTATTTTTTTACTACAATTATTCAAAAACATAACTTGCTCTAACTTGGTCAATTTTTATTAAATTTTAGTATTTTTTTTTTTGAACTGTTTTAAAAAATATGCTTAACAAAATGGCTATCTTAAAAATTTTAAATTCTTAAATGCGTAAAAAATTTTTTTGAAAATTTTTGAATTTTAAAAAAAAAATAAATGAATTTTATGCCATTCAATCAGAATTTTCATGCTTAGTACTGTAAAAAAAACCGCATTTAAATATAGTGATTTTACATGGAGATATTAAGGGTGATACGGGACTTTTGGGACATACTGTATATTAACAAAATATAGAACATTTACAATATATTAGTTTAAATGTTAAGACTACTATAACTAATACCAACTACAATAAAAATGATTTTTATTCTTTAAAGTTCCAAACATTTTAATATTATGGACTGAAAAATTAGATAAACAAAAAAATCCCATTTGGGAAAAATTAAATTTAAATTAATGACCAGGCTTTTGCGATGATATTGTCCCTGTTATCTTCATCATGTCCGTTGCCTGTGTTGGCAGATAGTAGAGTTTATTGGGTAGATGTATCTTGATCAGTTGCTATATTGTATTGTGTAGATGTATCTTCATCAGTTGTATAAAAAGATTGTGGTGACGTAGAATGAAAACTGTTTGACCCAGACTGTTCTGCTAATCGATACTTGGTCAAAAGAGACTGTATATCACTTTGAGCCAAAATAGCTTGCCTTGGTGACAACTTATTAAGTGCTGCAATAACGTACTGGCCAAAAGCATCATTATCACTTATTTCAGTGGAATCCATTTTATTTAAATCATTTTGAATATTACGCAGTTCTGTAATTGCTGTTGTAAAATGATGTAGCTTCCTTTTTTTAGCTGATGTTTTTGTAACTACTGGAGTTTTTGCAGTTGGTGTTATAGGCACTTGTGGGTTTCCAGCAACTACAGTTGTGGTCATCGGCGTTGTAGACATTTCTGTGTAATCACCTGTTACATTTTCCAACAGCCCTCCTTCGTTACCTTGGTTAATTAAAAAAACAAAAATAAATAAATGTATTACAATATATGGTAATTATTCAAATAATAATATAATAATTAAATATTTAGATGCCAAAAACTTATGAAGAATGGAAAAGCATTGCGAAAGGCTTTGAAGATACATGGAATTTTCCTAAATGCTGCGGAGCAATTGATGGCAAACATGTGTTGATAATGGCACCTCCTAACTGTGGAAGTGAATATTACAACTATAAGGGGACTAACAGTGTAGTGTTGATGGCACTGGTTGACCATAACTACTGTTTTACTTATGTATCAATCGGCAGCAAGGGGTCAGCATCGGACGGTGGTATTCTCCAAAATTGTGAACTTGGACAACTTTTGCAAAAAGATCTGCTTCCATTAGGATATTGCGTTGTAGCCGATGATGCATTTCCGTTGCGACATTATATGATGAAACCATATAAATGTTACAGAACAACTCTAACTGTACCTCAAAAAATTTTTAATTATCGCTTAAGCAGAGCAAGGCGTATTGTAGAAAATGCTTTTGGCATTTTGGTTAGCAGATTTCGAGTATTTGATAAAAAAATATATTGCAATTTAAAAACGGTGAACAAACTTGTACTAGCTGCGTGCGCTCTTCATAACTTTCTACGAAAATCTTCCTCTACATACCTACCACCTGGCTCTATTGATGAAGAAGATATATCGAGTGGTTTAATGAGAGAAGGTCGCTGGAGAACGGAAATAATTGAGCTACGAAATTTGGAAAGTCATAGGGAAAGAAGAGCATCAGACTTGGCCAACAAAATACGCGATAATTTGAAAAATTATTTTGTAAATGAAGGAGCTGTACCTTGGCAATATAGGCATATATACTAATAAATATGTATAGAGTCTAGACTAATAGTATCTGTTTAGTTAATTTAATTAGTTAAATTATATTATAATATGTTATAATATTTTGAAAAATTTGTACCAAAATGCATTGGTTTATTGTAAGTAATTAAACTAATTAATTAATAAATAACAAACTGTTTTTAGTTTTTACTAGTAGTATCTGTTTAGTTAATTTAATTTTCAATTATGTGTATTATACCATCTGAAGAAATATCTACCGTCAACCAGGCTAACTTGGGGCGCGTGTTTAACTTGGGGCAAAAATATTATCTTTTAGTTTTATCTCCATAACCGTCTCTTCTCAATTAATTAATGTGAGAAAAGTATTCTGTTGTTATCTTAGAAATATTTAAAACTCTAGTAATTTTAACAGCATATTTTGGTAAATAAGTCATAATTTGTAAAATTGACCTTACTTCAAGTTACAATAACAATTAAAGAGGAAAATCAGTTTAGTAATATCAATAAAATAAATATTACTTACCTCCACTTTCTGCATTGTCCTGTGTATAACCAATTTTCACAGACTTGACATTTTTCATGAATGAATCCATCAATTTGAACCATTTTATATTTGGAACATATAGATCATCAACACCACTACCAGACTTCTGTGATTTTTTTATTTTTAATAGTTCTTGGTTGTAAGTACACCTTAAGTTTTTTATTTTTTGTTTTAATTCAGTCACGCCAAAATTATCTTTTTTAAGTGTCTTGACGATATCTTCGTAGGCAGCGTCTCTCATTAATTTATTTCTATAATCTTTAGAACCAATATTCCATATACACTCATGCTTTTCATACAATTCCACCAGTGCACTTTCAGACCACTTCATTTTTAAAAATTATTAAAATCACTTTTATAATGAAATAAAATGATATAATACAATACGATCAGAAATGTAGAATAGTTATATTATATTATAATGTTTAAAAATATTGTTTATTAAACAAAATTAAAAATTTATACAAAGTTTAAAAATAAATATGAATACACGTGCCGGTTCAGGCGATAACAACAATATTTTACTTTACTATACCAAAACTAGACTGTTTACACCAGTAGAGTGGTGGTAGAGTACAGTAAAAACGGTGGTGGGGGTAAAAGCAAGTAGAGTGTACTTTACCACAGTGGTTAACTGCTCTACTATAACGATTACTATCTTTAGTACTCTACCTATACTATTCCTGAGTGTTTACATTATGCTAGAAACGGTAGAGTACTCACTCTACCGTCGTACTATAGCAAATACTCTACCAATGTAAACCCGGCTTTAAGTCAATTATTAATCAAATTGAATTACCTAATATCCTTAGTATGGCAAATTACATAATAGAAAATGATCTTTCAAGTAGCTTTCCAGATATTATTACTGCATGCTCGATATTTTATACTATACCTGTAACTGTCGCATCAGCCGAACGATCATTTTCTAAATTGAAACTTGTGAAGAATTATTTAAGAAATACAATTTCTCAAGAAAGACTCAATAATATCTAAATTTTAAATATAGAAAGAGAGCGCACCGAAGAACTAAATATTGACCAAATAATTAACAATTTCGCAAATCAAAAAGCAAGAAAAAAAAATTTTAAAATCTAACACTAATATTCAAATTAGGTAGGTAATACAAATTAGTATTAATAATACTAATTTCTTACTTATGAAAAATATAATTTCGATAACTTTTTTATTATTATTATTATTATTAGTAGTAGTATATGAATGTAATATAATATAATCATTATCATAAGTGATCTAATAATTTTAAATAGTCAATACCTAATATAATCTAGTTATTGTTATAATCAGTGGCGGCTCGTGCTATGGATCACAGGAGCACATGCACCACCTATATTTTTTAAGAATATTAAATTGCTCTAAAGCATTAATTGTGATATATAATATTTATGAAAGGGATTAAACTATTTTGTTGACTAATTAGCTATTTATTTAACATAATATTCTACACTATAAAGCAAATATATTAGGGAAGTACTGTCATAGGTGATAACTTATAAGTGATAAGTGATGTTGTAGGTATTGTGGACTATGGTACAGCTGTCAGCTAGGAGTACTGACTACAGGTACAAGACGTTACGATGACGCCGATGACGGCGACCGTGGATTGAGCACAGTGAAAATATGCTCGGTTTGCGCATGCGCATAAACATTTACATTCCCACAACTCGCATACAAAATGATGTATTCGTCATGGGCACTTGTTCACAGATCATTTGTGCTCACGAGTCACGACTATACAAACGGCAACGGCGGCATCGTCTTGTTGTTCGGGTGATGGGTGGCGATCCTTTCCCAGACGTACGCGCTTCACGGACCGTTGTAACCAGAACTATTTTTATCAACAACTTTCGATTATTATTTCTTTATTATTCACTATAGTACTTTACATTATTATTTACTGTACGACGAACGTTTGTACAAACCTAATCAGTATTCAGAACTTATTATCATAGCCCACAGATGACAGTCTACATTTTAAATTGTTGTTACTTAAATTTAATATTTAAAAACGAGTGTACTGTTAGTTATACAAACAGTTTAGTGACTAGTGACTAACGTGCACGTATAGTACCTATTATAGACATTTAGTGTTATTTCTGTTTAAAATACCAAAAGTAGTATCACGGTTCTTAAATACCTACAATAGTACAGTTATATTTTAGTTCATATTTTAAATATTCATTTAAAATGTCTCAACTAAATTCTATTAGTTCACTAACTAAATTAAATTTTTCTTTGTTGTCATTGGAGCAAAAAATTGCAATTAAAAAAGAAGGTAGGCCAAAACCAAATTTAATTATTGTCAAAGAATCAAAATGTGGTTGTGACATAACTAATAAGCTGTTTTGTTTCCCGTGTTATTATTAGTCGGTCCAATGAAATAAGTTGGAGTAAACTAGGTATTGATGATTTAAGTAATTAATCAGCAAAAATAAAATCCCACGAAAAACACAAACCCACATAAATGCCCAGCTAAGTTTTAAGTTGTTAGGAAAACAGGATATTCATCAACAGCTAAATAGCGCATTTCGTTTAAATATTCAAAAGTATAACGAGCAAGTAAAAGAGAATCGATACATTTTGTCTAAAATTATTGATTACATACGATTTTGTGGAGCATTTGAACTTGCTCTACGTGGTCATGACGAAACATCTGATTCAGTTAATCCGGGCGTTTTTAAAGAACTTATTAATTTTTTTCCAGAATTAGACTATGCACTTAAAACTCATTTGGAAAAAGCTACTGTCTTTAAAGGTATTTAAAAAAAAATTCAAAATGACATTTTAGACTGCACGCTAACAATTTGCCAAAATCAAATTAAAACTGAAATTTATCAAGCTGACTTTCTTTCGGTAATAGTTGATGAGACCACGACGGATGTATCTAATTATTTTCAAATGTCTCTTGTGTTTCGATACGTACTTACAGATGGATCACCCGTGGAACGATTTTGGGGCTCTTTAATCCAACTGGTCATGATGCTAAATGTTTGGCCGAATGTATTTTAAATCAACACTTCGAGATGTCTTAACCGATAAAAAAAAATTGATCACACAAAGTTATGACGGTGCTAATGTCATGAGTGGTCATATATCCGGGGTGCAAACTTTAATAAAATCCGACTATCCAAATGCACATTACGTCCAATGTTACGCCCATCTGATAAATCTAATTATGAAAGCGGCTTCTTGTAAAAGTAAAGAGACACGTATATTTTTTTCTAACCTAACGGACATAAACAATTTTTTTACCCGTTCTCATCAAAGAGTTCAAGTTTTAGACGAGTTAGTGAAAAAAAGCTTGCCCAAAACCGTAGAAACTCGATGGAATTTTAAAAGTAGAGTTGTGAATACAGTTTACGAAAATAGAGAATTAATTATTGAATGTATTTATAAAATTGAGGCTACTTCAAATCAAACTATTACAATTAACCAGGCAGGTGCCTTACGTAAAATGTTACTAGAATCAACTTTTATTTATGTTTTCCATCGTATCATGCCTCACTTAGATATTATATATAACCAACTGCAAAAAAGAAGTACAAGTCCGGTAGAAATAAATAATGCAATATATAATTTCGAAATTAATATTCAGAAAGAAAATACATTAAATAATGTAGACAGTATACAAGTAGATGAAGGTGAATCTGCGAAAAGAAAACGAGAAAATATTTATTTAACTAGAAACATTATAGCTAAAGAAGTGTGTGACACAATTTTTAATTAATTTGTAATTTTTTGATCTGTATAAGTATAAAGGACATATAGTTGAAGCCAACTTATTCTTGTTAGATAATTTTTAAAATTATGAAAAAAACTTTCCCCAACTTTACCTCGAACAAACTGTAGAAGCATACCCGTTTATAGATAAATTAAAATTAAAAACTGAGCTACAGGTTATCTATAATCGAAATGATTTTAAAAACATTTCAGCAGCTGTAAGTATTACATATATTTTTTATAAATGTGCACCACTAACTATTTTACCCACGAGCCGCCACTGGTTATAATATACCTCATAACGTTTTAGATGTCAATTTATTAAAATTCTTTGATATTACATTAAATTATATAAAACTTGTGTAAATTTGTTTGTCTTCATATATTTATTCTAATACATGGTACACTATAAATGGTGTACACTATGGCACCTTCACCAATTTGCACCGGGGCACACAAGTATCTAGCTACGGCACTGGTCGCGACGTAAGCACGTAAAATTAAACATACAGATACATCGCCACCTAAAGAAAAACGTTCAGTACGGTCGGTATTATATGAATAAGTAATAATGCAATAAATACAAATCGAGCTATGTTATAATACAGTTTATATGATCTATATATTGGTACATATATTTAGATAAACAGTGATTTAAATTATAATTGTTAGTTTATGGGTACGCGTGGTTATTTAAAATATTACGGCAGCATTATTTCGTGTATGAATTTTATAATGACGCGAAACGTCTTGGACGAATGTTCATACAATAATAAACGGTGCTCCCGAACGACACTCTTCGGGGCCACCGATTACGTGGAGTGGGCGTGCCTTAAATGTCGCATGCTTGCGGACATAGACCTATAAACTAATGGACAGCGCTCAAAGAGAGTGGTCAGGGGTACGATATACAGTATTAGTTTCATACGTCTATGATTTCCCCCATTATGTTTTTTCTCTCTTTCTCTTATATGATTGTCCACCAAGATTCCCCCAATATGTTCTTTCTCGCTCACTCTATATTGGTGCCACTCATTGATGGCTGGGTGGTAAGTGAGGTGCAGTCCATTAGTTTATAGGTCTATGCTTGCGGATCGCGAAAACACTTAACAGCGCATTCTCTTAGCCGTTTTATACGTTTCACTTTGGGTATCACGTCCTCTTAACAAAAAATGCCCAATACCAGCTGGAACGAGACTAAACCTCTTTAAAATGTACATAGAACCAATTTTAACCTATGCCGGTGCATCATAGGCACCATTTATCTGCAAATCCTCTTGGAAGAAAATTGAAGCTGTCCAAACTGTAGGTATCAGAACCATCCTGGTGTTACGTAGCCCTTCAGGGATCCAAAAGCTGATATACTTTTATAATAAACAATAGTCAAATTAAAATCGCAATCAAATGTAGTTTTATTAAAACCAAATAATAAGCAATATAGTCGTGGTAATTTGTAGTAGCGTGAATTGACTCGTTGTAGCAGCTGATAATCTCCGTGTAGTTGTGTATAATGGCTGGTGGCATAAGCGGCTCGCTCGGTCTTGGCGGCTCTGGTACATCTAATCTGTATTGTAGCCCTGGCCTCTATATATACGGAGGCGGCATCCTTTGAATTGAGCGGCGAGTGGCATGCAGGCGCCCTTGGTAAGTTGTAGTGGTTTGGTGCGTCTATTCTAGTCATAACCACTTTTGGGTACGGTCGACGAAGGTCGCCTTTTACATAAGTGATTCTTGTTATTATAAATGATTATAATTGCGTAATCCCATTACACTGGGTCAACCGTCCATAGTACAAAACTCTGTTCACCTAAACACAGCTGGTTTTGACACTGTCAAGAACACCATAAAAAAGAATGCTGCAGAAGTGTTTTACCGATGCTCAAAGTCTCAGTATAATCACCTCAGAAGAATAGGTCAGATCATCCCCCCCACCTAACTCAAGATACACACAACGCCCTAGAGCAAACCTCTGGGCCAACAATTAATAATAATAAAAAAAAAAAAAAACCCAACCCACCAAATCAATCAAACATCCTGCGACTAACAAAGGCTAACATTCTGGAATAGTTAAATAGGCAAAAACCGTCCTACCAAGTAGTAGTAGTATTATCCATCGTGTTGAATATTTATTTGGACAATTTCATCATCGACATGATGACAGGCACCGTTGCTACAACTCCGGATCCAGACGCCGCATCGCCGGCCACTAAGAAGTATCCTGCCAAGAAGAAGTTGCGTTGCATCCGACCACTGCTGTGACGGTCACATCGGCTATCAAAGAGCTAAAGCCAAAGGAAAAGAAGGGTTCGTCGTTACCAGCCATTAACAAATACTTGGCCGCCAACTATAAAGCTGCCATTGTCAACGGTACCGTAGTTCAGACCAAAGGAACCGGCGCTTCGGGAAACTTCAAGTTGTCCGTCGCCAATGTCAATCCGAAAAAGCCGTTATAACCAAAAATAAGAAATCGATCGTCAAAAAAGTAAAAGAAGAAATGTATTATATTTGTTCTGAATGTTTCCAAAAAGAGACCGCCGGAACACCGAAGAAAAGAAGCTCCCAGTCGCCAAAAAACACTCGACCGGTGGAACAGCTGCTAAAAAGGCTAAAAACCCAGCCACTGTCAAATCAAAATCGCAGATTTCAATCATAAAACCACTGCACCCAAAAAGAAGTAAAAGAAAAATACTTCACTTTCCCTATTTAAAACGGTCCTTATCAGGATCGTCCATTTATTAAACACATCCGTCTTACTCACTTACTGACTAACTAGTCTTATTCTTTTTAAGACCTAGTCAGTACCGTAGAACGGGGTGAAGTAAAGGTAAACCAGCAGTTATGAAGTGGTCCATTATCCTTTTTTTGAATGTTTATCAGCATAACTTAGACATGGTTCTATCCAAATTAATTTAATAAATTCTTTAACTCCATAGCAGTATGCCAGTATGATACCAAACAATTGTTGATACTAATGATAATTATATGTACAAAATATGTCATCAAATAATTTTGTAACCAAAACTACGTTTTTATTTGGGAGTATTTAAAAAGTCATTAATATCTCAAAAGTAAGCAATTCAATTGAGCAATTTATCAGGAGTCTTGTATTCAATTTTCACTCTTTCTTTACCCAACAAATACAATTGTATTGATATTTATATATTTATAGAAAAAAACTAAAAAAATTTAAATTTGAAATTGTCCTTAAACAGCTCATAACATTTTCAACATTTGATCAAGTATAGAAATTGATAAAATAAACATATGATATAAATCTATTATGTCACACTTATAAGAAGTATAAATTAACTGATAGTCATTTAAATTATCTACCTGTTCATTAGTATTTGTGGCAATATCAAAATTATCTACAGCTCTGTTACTTTGTTTGTTTTTATTTCTAATACCACCTAAACAAAAATTTAAATGCAGGTACCTATTTTGAATTCATATTACGTATTCATGGAATAAAATAATATAAATTTCATATTTATATAATACTAGCTAATCCCGTGTACTTCGTTGCCCGTTAAATGTACCAACTCTATATGACTCAAGCTTTGTTCAATTCGTTATTTAATATTCGGTGTATGGTGTTCAAAATTTATCTTAACTTTTCCGTTGCCCGGAATAAAAAATCTGATTCGCAGCAGTATTATAGTAGATCGCAGATCCCGAGCTGTTTGTACGTAAGTGATTTAACGCTAAATTATCAAAGTTATATAAATATAAATATTATTGTAAGAATATTAAGTTCTATTCGTTTTTTAGTATAGGTTAGGTTAGGTTGTTCGTGTAATCAAGCAGTAAAAGTTTACCATTAACCATGACACAGTACGCAGCGGCAACCAGTACAAATCGTGCGTTATCCCAGCACCCGTACTTTCAAAATCATGACTTGTAATCACGCAGTATTATGTACTTTATTTTGTAAAATGTTGTACAACCAAAATTAAATTTTGTAAAACACTCAACCCCCCCCCCCCCAAAAAAAAAAACACAAATTCATCTTACGGGTGCTGCGATAACAGTATTATGTATTTTAATCTGTACAACAAAAATTAAATTTCGTACAACACTCAAACCCCTTCAAAATCCAATTTCATCTAACTGGTGCTATCGAGTATTTTGTATCAATATTGTATCTAAGATTAGGCCTCTGCCGATATATCGATTAATCGATTTTTGTACGCGATAGTATCGATTAATCGATATAATTAATAAATAAATATATATCGATTAATCGGATATATCGATATAATCAAAAATATGTGGTATTATCAGCGTTGCCACACTGTCGTGGCCCGAAACATGGTTCAGGTGTGCCGATTAATACTACGTGTTTTGAACCAAAACCAGAAGGTATAAAAGAGGTAGGTAAAATAATAAATAATAAATTCGGCGTACGATCAATTGTGTATATTTTTACATAAAACAAATAATTCAAAATATGTTATTATACGGATAAACTTTGTTGCGCGAAATAAAAGGGTGAGTCGTCGAGACGTGTGGCTGCTCGAGTTGAGAGCGAAAAAGCGAGTGTCGAGAGTAACGAGCGACGGCGGCTTCGAGCGCGTAACGGCGAAGTCGCCGCGCGAGACGGGAGAAAAAGTTGTGCGGCGAGTTGTCACGTGACCAAAGACGGTACAACATAAAATAATATAATTCACTGAGATGATAAATAAAACGAATACAAAATAAATCACATGACGAGTACAATATAAAAATGGTAATATAAAAAGGGCGCTCTAGCTTAAGTGGTGATAACACGTCGGAATCACCACAAATTTATTGATTCAATCGAAATATTGATAAGAAAAGTGATAGTTGATATCACATTATTTTTCTGATTTCTCTTAGAAATCTTTGTTGTGTTAATTTTGTTCCTGATGAAAAAATGTTGAGATCCATGACAGCTGATAATTTATACAAAAAAAGTTCAGATAATGATGTTGAAGTATTGTTTTCTTAAAAATTGTTACGTATTATTTGAATGTTTTTATTTATTTAAAATTGAAAATAATATGTTATTAACATAATTGACATTGTAATTAACATTTACAAATTACATTAAATATTAAAACCATGATTTCAAAAAAAAAATTAAATGTTTTGTTTTTGTTGATAAAATTAAATGATAACAACGATGGGCTAATCCACGGTCTTAGATTAATAGGGCTTATTAGGGCTAATCAATCGCAGCACGATTGAAGATAATAATATACTTGAATATACCAATATACCATACAGTAAAATAGCCATATAGGTATATTATATTTTATCACGGTTTGCAGCCACAGAATTCTGATATCAAGGTGGATTGATATCAATCCACCTTGTCTGATATATTATATTATCTATATCTTTAACCGTGGTTACAAGCAAGCAATGCAGTGCTGTCAAGTACGATTTTTTTGATGATACGATAATTTCATGGGAAATGTGATAATTTTTGAAGACTTGTGCCATAATCATAGATAGAGAGTCTGGCAACACTGTTTCTCTAACAGAGTGTAGCAGTAAACAGTCGTTACTGGCTTATTGTTATTCATCGTTATTCGTGTTAAACCTCGTGTTAAACAGAAAAGCCGAAGTAAATATTTCAGTTGCTTAATACAATAATTTACTTCCATGAGTGAGGTGTGGCAAGTTTTTGATAAAAGCATGTGTGGTCAGAGAGCAATATGCAGCATTTGTAATAAGTCTTATGCTAACTCACTACTCAGGTACAAATACGACTAATTTATGGTCCCACTTAAAATCTAGACACGGAAATAAATATTTAGAACTGGACCATATCAGAAGAAGCCTATCAATTACCAACGTTAGTTCAATTAAGTAAGTTTTTTGCAAATCATTACAAATTGATCAAATTATATTCACTTTCGTTTTGATTTACTTTTATTTCATTATAAGTTTGTGTGGCATTTAAAGAATTTTTGATTTTTATTATTAAATTGTATGTTAAATTATTACATAGGCATGACTAGACTTTATCCGCAAGGGCAGCCTAACTAATGACCCGCGCCACCTAACCTAACCGAAAAATGCCCCATTACCCCCTGGCCATTAATAATTGAAGGGGGCTAGTCCAACCAATTTATCATTTACATAGTTTAAAAAAGTCTATCTATTCAAGTTATCTATTTACAGTATTTTTTATTTTCAATACCTACCTTAAGCAGTTAAGCATTGCTTTTAGTTATTGACCCATTTTTTTTATTTTTAACTTGTCAAAATTAGCTTAACTCTTACTTAACTTAACTTAGCTTAACTCTCAATACTTATTCTTAAGCATTGACTATTATTTATGAATAGCTCTTAGTATTAATCCACTACAATAATTCTGAAGAAAATTATGTCGTTTTAATTAATTACCGTTTGATTTAATAAAATTATTATTAATTTATGAACAATCTTTTACAGTCCTCAAGAAGATGCAAATATAGATTTAGATGGTCCATCTACAAGTAAATTAGTTTTGAAGCAAACGTTATTACCCACAACGAAAAAGGGCAATGTAATTAGTAACCAAAGCTTGATGTCTTCATTCACTTTAACAAAGGCATCACAAACGAAAATTGATGCAGCATTAGCATATTTCATTGCCGTGGACATGATGCCTTACAATATTGTAGCCAAAGAAGGATTTAAACTCTATACAAAGTCTCTAAATTCAAGCTACAATATTCCTAGTAGAAAGACTATCACTGATTCCAAAATACCAAAACTGTAATGAAACAAAAACCAACATTGAGTCCATTATCAATAACACTTATTTTTTATCATTCACAACTGATTGTTGGACATCTGGATCAAACAAACCATTTTTGGCTTTAACTGATCATTTCATTGATAGTAAATATGATTTAGGTAAATTGATTTATAAATGATATTTTAATTTTAAAATTATTATTCAATTAACTATTATTCATCTTCTTAAATTCTGTTACAGGTTCTATATGCTTAGGGTGTGTAGAATTATCAGAAGATCACACTGGGGAAAACATAGCTGATACATTGGAATTATTATTATTGGATTATAACTTATCTGTTCCAAGCAATAATGTGTGTGCTTTTACAACTGATTATGGAGCAAACATATTAAAGGCTATAAACAATTTGAGAGTTCCACATGTAACCTGCTTTAACACTGCTGTTGGTAATATTTTCAAACTTGAAGACATACAAATTGTTATACACAAAGTACAAAGTATTCAAAATATTTTCTCATATAGTTGGCAAGCAACCAGAAAGTTTGAAATCGAAGAAGAGCGTTTTTCTTTAAAAATATTAAATTACCATCATACTCTAAAACTAGATGGTAGTCATTACTAGATTTAATATTAGTAATATTCAAGGACTAGGATTATCTAGTTTTCTGAAAACTTATAAAAAAGGACATTACAAAAAGTTAATTTTGTCAGACGAAGAAATTGATGTTTTAAAATGCATAACTACAGTTTTAAATCCAGTACGTGAAATAACGGACCATTTGGCTGGAGAGAATTATGTTACAGCATCAGCTATATATCCGGTCATATTTAATTTAAAAACCAAATTATCTGAAGCTGTTAATGCAAATAATAATGACAATGCTTCTGACAATATGTGCAGGGAGATAAAAACAAAAATATTTTCTTGTATAATTACGGTTCTTGACAAACGTTATGACAATAATACTGTGTTACAAATTTCAATGGTTTTAGACCCACGCTTCAAAACAACATTTGTTGCCCTAGAAGAAGTTGCTGAAGTCAAACAAAATATTATTGAAAAACGCCTGGAATCTTGGACAGAATGGTCTACCAACACCAGAACTGGAAGAACTAGTGATGCAGCTAATTCTGTACTTCCACTGGATATTCCTAATCAACTAACTCACAAAAAAAAAAGACTGGGCTCTCTGCCATTTTTGATGAATCCATCAACAACGAAGTAAGAATATAAAAGTAGTCTTTTAGACTAGTTAATTTGTTAATTTATTTATGAGGTAATATACTATAAATTTATATGTACCTATGTATTCTTTTTATTTGTTTAGAATGATGAAGAAACTGAAGTAACTATATTATCGAAAATAGACAAAAACTTACATTGTATGTTGAATTTTCAAAAGTGCCATATGACCAAGACCCTTTAAAATGGTGGTCTTTAAATAATGGCACATATCCACTTTTGAGTATTCTGGCTAAAAAATATCTAACAAGGAAAATAATAATAATAAGAACCAAAGAATATTATTTAAGAAGTGCAATCTTATTTGTAGTGGGGATCGCTCTGGTCTAGGAGTATCCACTGGACATTATAAGTCAATAGTATGGCGAGACAATGATCGGTGGGAAGTGTATGATGACCTTAAAGAAACAGCTACGAATCCCTATGGAAAAAAACATAATGTAGAATTTTTAATATACACAATATAAAGTTGTTGATGAATTTAATTTATTACCTACTTAAGAAATTGTATCACAAATTTGATATCAAAAAGACAGAACTTGATTAAAATTGACAATGGTGTTAATGGCATAAGAGGTAAAACGGAAATTAAGAAGATATTGATTATCTGGAGAGCAATAAACAAAAGGAAAAATATAAAATAAACAGTTCTGTGCTTAAATAGAGAATGATATTCAAGAGAAAAGAAAAAGCTAAACTTAAAAAAAAAAAGTATTAACATAGATGTTCTAGATCTACCTAGTAAGATAAAACTATAATAATTATAGAATTATAAATTAATCAACAACAACTATTCCTACCTACAAGGTTGTGCAGTATCTTAGATACAATATTGATACAAGATAGGTACTCAAAAACACAAGTTAGATGAAATAGTATTTTTTTGGGGGGAGGGGCTAACCTTAGATAGTTGTACAAAATAAAGTACATAATATTGTACGGTTCAAAGTAGAAATTCGTGAAAAATAACTGATCCGGGTGCTGGGGTAACGTTACCGCAGCACCCGTAAGATGAATTTGGATTTTGGGGGGTTTGAGTGTTGTACAAAATTGTACAAAATTAAGTAAATAATACTGCGTGATTACAATTCATGATTTTGAAAGTACGGGTGCTGGAGTAACGCACCTCTGTACAAAGTACAGGTACCTCAGCTACTGGTCTACACTTTTGTCAACCGCCATCACGGGCTACGACAGCGCGTCACCGTCGACTCTCCCATCGCGCAGCTAAAGGTACGGTGTCCAAGCCACGACTGTCAAGACCACACTGTTTTTACGCGATTCCTATGGACTGGTGTCCAATGAGCGATTGCGGCTTTGCGACTATGAATGGGCCGCTGCGACCCGCGGCTCTACTCACTCGTAAGTAGTGCACAGCGACAGTCGCCAGCGGCTTTTGCTATTTCTATTTTAACCTTTAGTGACGCGCGCGGTATCAGACCATATAGTTGCGCACGTGGGGTAATTATTTTCCGTTAATATAAAAACACTTTTTTCTTTACATTATTCAGTTATTATTGACTATTTATTGCAGATTTTAAATTACAATTTATAAAATAACTTTCTTATTAAATTAATTAAGTATATATTAATTAATTTACATGCGTGTTTTACAAATTTTAATAAAAAAAAATAATATTTAATAAGCTTTGTTTACAAATACATAATTTTTATTTCCTTAAAATTTAAAATTATTAAAACTATGAAGCCTCAAAGCAGTCAGGGCAAGTCTCTATTATATGGTCTCTGCAAATGAGCCTTGCGCAATTAGTACATACTTTTGTAGCCTTACAATCTTTTGAGCGGTCACAAAAAGTACATCTTCCAGAAGCTCGTACACGTTGTATTTCCCCCACGTTAGGTCTTATTATGTTGCAGTATTCATTTAGTCTTAATTTTATTTGTTTTGGCAAACAATCCAGTGTCAAACGATATTCCATTTGTTCTTGCATTAGTTGATGAGCTAATGTCTTCAAAAATACAAGTCTTGTTTTTCTTATTGAAGTATTTTCTTGGAAAATAATTTGTGCGTTTAGTCCACCGATGTTTAGCATTGAATAAAAAACTACTAATGGCCAACGTATTCACCGCCGTGCAACAGTGTAATTATCGGTTTTCTTATCCATTGTATCCACAGAGCCTTTCATTGCATTATACATCGTTATCATGTTTGGTTTTTTTGCCGCTCCTGTACTACTGTCGATTGAATTATCATTGTGCATTGTGGATAATAGTAATACTATTTTGTTATTTTTAGGTTTGTATGAAACTAGAACTTTTTTTTCACTAAATCCAAAATAAGAACTAAATACAGGGCGATTTTTCGTGATTTTAAATTCCTGTGGTATTTGAGTTTTATTTTTCCTAAGGGTACCAAGTAAGGTGAGTTTTTGATTCAGTAATTCATCTGCGAGCGGAACACTAGTAAACCAGTTATCGATTGTCACGTTTCTTCCTGTATTCCTAATAGGTTGTATCAAACGATGAACAACATTTTTCGGACTGTTATCAATACTAAATGGACCATCAGGTTGTTTTCCGGCATAAATTTCCATATTACTGGTGAAATATGAAATGTTATCTACCATAGCAAAACTTTTTATACCATATTTAGTAGGTTTGGACGGAATATACTGCCTAAAAGAACATCGACCACGAAAGGCTTGGAGTTTTTCGTCTATAGTGACAAACTCGGATAAACTATATGACTGTTTACACTGTAGTATACAACTTTCAAATAATCATCGCACATGGGTTATTTTATCAAACTTTTTTCTTTCTTCGCGTCCTCTTATGTCATCAAAACGTATATATCGCAATAAAAATTCAAACCGTTTTTCTGACATAACACATGATACAATATCTACACCTACTCCATCTAATTTCCACAAATCCCGAGCATTTCTATGACCACATTTTATTGCACCTAATAACAGATATATGATAAAAAAAATAAATAAACAACTACCTATATATTATATATTATGTATATAATATAACATAACAAAATACAACGATAAGAACGACGACGACTGACGAAAATAATTACACAATAAAATTCTATATAATAATAATATAATATTATATAGGTATAAAAAAATGAAAAATACGAAACTGAATTTTACTCAAAACTTATATATTGGTTTTTACGGAACTTTTCTTAGCAGGGCAGTATCATATAATAATTTATTACAAGATGTGTAACGTATACAAATTTATAATTATTATAACTATAAAACTATAATATAAATTATTATTACTTACCAATCATGTACAAGCAACCAAGTAAACCTTTTATTTCCCATGTGGTTGTATGAGCTACATCTCTTTCTCTGGTAAAATTTGACTTAATTTTATCGATATATATATTTGTACAGAACACTATATGTTCAATCATAGGACCCGTAAAAAAAATATACCACGCGTCAATTTCAGTTTTTGCATTTTTTGCCAAATTAGTCAAATTAGTCATTTTGCAGTGAAACCAACGGACGAGGGAAAATCAAATATGATATGTATTACACAGTGTTGTAAAAAATACTTTTAAAAAGTATTTGAGTAATTACTCAAATACTTATAAAATAAAGTATTTAAAATACCACCCAAATAGTATCTATTGTAAAGTATTTGAAATAATTTTCAAATACAAAACAAAAAAATCAATTTATTTCTGAATCATTCATATATCATTCAATAATGTATTATATTAATCAAATATTTGAGTGTTGCATTTTAAGAACATTATTTGTTCAAAATGCTTATCTGTCATATTTGTTCTTTTTTTTGTTATTGTTGCACCACCAACACTAAACACTCTCTCTACTGACGCACTGCTAGGTAGTGGAGTGTTGTACTTCATAAATACCTGAAAACAAAGTACAAATGTTTTTTTTAGTATTATTACTAATAGTATAAGAAGTTTTCAACTAATCTTACTCTTTTGATAGTGGGTAAATTATGCAAACATTCTAATGTCTTTGTTGGAGATGTGCCCAAAAACCTATCGATTTCATCACTAACTGTTGATTTTTCTTCTCTGGAATTTTGTGACCAGGTAAAAAAGCTAGATAAATTATCAATCATTTGGTTATCTTCTACATCACTATTGTCATTATCATTGGAATGTAACTCGTCTAACTCATAACATGCACTTTTGAAATATTCTGAGGCCAATTGTTTTTTTATATCATTTTTAATCCATGCTGTTTTAAATAGTGGGTGGCAGACTGCAGCAGTAATTAAAAATTTGTCTATCAAATAATCGGCAAATCTTGTTTTTATACCTAAAAACAAAAATTATTATTAATGAAGTTTATTTATTTTAGCTCAAGAGTACATTAATGTAGGTAGTACGCTGACATATAAATATAAAGAATAGATCAGTTAATTAACATTTTACATTATTCATCAGTAAGACTGTAAGAACTAAGAGATACTAAATATTTACTATTTAGTAAATAGTATTTATCAATAAAATAAACCAAAAACAGCTAAAATGAAAAGATTAAAGAAGTTAAATGTGAAACATTAAAGTACTTGGCTAAATAAGATTAATGTATTTAAAAAATATTAATTATTACATACCATTAAGTATGGCATTCACCAAAGGTTTCATATAATTAGAAACTGTTACATCATTTGTCATCATTAGTTCATATTTATAAATTAATTCTTCAATTGTAGGTAAGAGATGACCAAAATACATGTTAGTATCACCCTGGAGTAAATCCAAGCTTATTGAAATTGGCCCCATAATTTTTTGATATTGACACATGAAATCAATATCGCTTCTATTAAATCTGAAAATATTATTTATAAAAAATGTAGATAAAATAATTAATATATTTTTAAGATTTAAAATTTACCGGCCAATAGACAATTCATCCATTATTATTCTAAACTTAGGCTCATTATTTCTAATTAATTTATTAAGCAACACCACTGCGTCATACAGTGAATTCCAACGAGTCTCGTTTGGTGTAATTAAATAAACGCCAAGATTTTGTTTAACTAAATCAGCTGACTTAGTTGAGCGACCTTGTTTGTTCCATAAAGCGGTAGACTTAGCGAAAGTGCTTCTTGACTGTTTTTTGTATGCAGGATTAGACAAAGCTTTTTTAGAGTCCTAGAAAAAACAAGTTATACATATAAATTATTTTATTTTGCATTTAATTTGTACAAATTTGTAATTCAAAATTAAACAAACATAATTTATTGATATTTAAGGTTGAAATTTGGGTAAAGAAAATAGAAAATAGTTAATGCCAATCATATTCTTACTTAAACTTGAGAATATTTTGTTTCATATATTTTTATCATTTAAACTGACAGAAAAATGTAACTTTTAAATGTTACAAACATTTACAACTCTACAAATGTGATTAAGATTATTAATTGTTAAACCTACTACCTAATAGTTTTGTTCTGATCACTATACTATTTTATTTGGAAAAATTAAAGGGTACCAAATTTTATATTTTATAATTTAACTATATTAGGTTATCTAAATAAATATTTAAATACCATTGTAGCTATTAAATTTATTGTATGTGCACAACATCGATGGTGTTTTGGTAATACATATTGAAAATCATGTTCATCTTTATCATTTAGAATGTTCAAGTCGATTGCATCAATTTCTTCTAAATCATCATTAAATGCATCGTTCACTAGCAATGTATCAGTATTTTCATCATCAAATATATGACCAAATGTTCTAAAAAATAATAAAAAATCATAGGGTTTAAAACAGGGTAATTAGATGGTTAACTAAATGGAATTTATTACAAACAAATTTAATGAGCAATCAATACAAATTCATAATGAATAACTTACTTGAAACATTTTACAAAATTTGAGCCATTGTCCGTAGTACAGTAAGATAATTTATCTGAAATTTCGAACTCTGTATAAACTGCATCCATAGCTTTGGCTAAAATATCATATGTGTGTGAACCTTCTAGTCGTCTCAATGCTAAAAGACGAGTACTTCTCGATAAATCCTCATTAATCCACGTGACCGTTATCCCAATGTATGATCTAACAAAATATAATATTAAACTAATTGGTATCTAGCTATGTATAATAAACATGATTGTATAATTATTATACTAAATAATAAAAATTACTTTTTAAAAATCGACCAGCCGTCCGCAGTCGTAGCAATATGGGCACATTTGGACATTTCAAATTTCATTTTTAATGATAAGTCTTGAAAATCATTTTCAATCGTTTTCATTAGTGTAGGTCGAGACATAATTTTTTTGTTTGGGAAACCTCTACCAATTATTTCCTTCAAAACAGGATTTTCTATTATTCTGAAGGGAACATTAGCACTTACAATAAATTTCTGCAATAGTTGATCTAAAGTACCTGCAATCAAAATCATTAGTTACATCTTACACACCTAATTGACAATATTTAAATATCTCAATATCTATATCATGCACATTGTAAATCATGTAGTCATGTAGATATCAACTACTTTTGTTAATGCTGTAACTAAAAACTATTTAATAAGATAAAAAATAAAAATAAACAATACACATTCTTACTTTGACTAGTTAATTTTTTGTTGTTCAAAAAATCTTCTAAAACTGGTTGTTTTAATTGGTTATTTTTATCCGACTGTTTTAAAGAACTACCAGTGTTTTGCTTCAATGATCCATCATTGCATCTCTTTGTAGTGTTTTTATTTGCAGCATTATCAATGTGATCAATTTTCTTTAAGAGGACGCCACACCACTCGTAATTCGGTTGTAAAAACTGTTTCGCGTGGGACAACTTTTCTCGCATCATAACTATAATAGAATAACCAAAATTTTACAACACATAGAGAAGAATTTTATCTATGTCGTAGCGTTTTTATTTTTTGGATAACATAAATACGATTAAAGTTATTGGTTTGAGAACATTAGGTTTTTTTGTATTTTTCAATTAATTATTAAAAATTATTGGGTAGTGTTATCAAAAAAATAACGACGCTACGACACAGATAAATTTCTTCTTTATAGGGATGTAAAATTTTGGTAATTTTTTTGCTAATATTGAAGGAGTAAAGTTGTCCCGCGCAAAACAATTTTTGGCATGTGAAATTATTGTAAAATAATTTTTCTAATTATTATCGAAATATTCCCTGGTGGCGTAAAACAGCACAACGTGGCTTCCCCTACTCTATTCAAGCACTCGCGTTTTTCGTTATCGGCCCGCACCGTCTGCCGTCTGGCGTCTCGACGAATTATTGTGACAGAAATAAAAATTCCGATAATCGGAATTTGATAGAAATAATATTATTATCTTGAATAATGAAAATAGACTATAGCCCTACTAGCATACTATAATAATATAGTATATATATAATCAATGGGTATTACAAATTAATTATTTATATTTTATAAGCTACACGTCTTGGTCGTGCCATTGACAGTCTCATCTTGGTCGCCTTATGACAAGATACGCTGTGGGATTACTACATACTTGTATACTTGTGACTTGTCTCTGACTACATAGTACATATTACGATACTCGTCTAATTTATACCTAATTGTAATTAATCAAGATCAGAGTGGCCTTTTTATTTTATACATTGTACCTATTTAATTTGTATACACTTGAACATAACTATATCTATTTTTTTTTGTGACAAATTTGTTTTGTCAATATGTCACCAAAAAAAATTCGCGCCGTCGTAAAGAAAGGAACCCGATCGAGTTGGATTTTTTGGTTACAGTATGAACTATTTATGAGAACCTTTGTTTTAAATTTGCAATCCTAAGCTATAAAAACTGAACATTTTTTCATTTATTAATTACGATGATTAATAATTTTCGAGATTTTGAAAAATTCTGTCAAAATTCGATGTTTAAATGCTTATAAAAAAAAATTGTGCCTATGTATTTTTAATATTTTTCAACTGATATTGTAACAATATATCAGGAGCCTTGTATTACATTTTTACACTTTTTGGCCCAACAGATAAAACTTTATTGATATTCATAGAAAAAAAAACTAAAAAAATAGAAAAATGAAAATATCCGTAAACAGCTCAAAAAGAGTCGAAATATTTTCAAAATTGTATGGTGTATAGGAAATGCTAATATAAACATTCAGTGAAATTTTCATGTATCTATAGTTATTCGATTATGAATAACAACAAAATAAGGAAATCGCTACATGAGAAATCGAGTGAACATCCAATGTTGTAAAAATTTGAATTTCAAACGCTCATAAAAATTTAATTTGACTTTCCGGTAGATATTTTTTTATTGATAAAGGTAGACAAACTTATGAGTAATCTTGTATTATATTTTCAAATCTTAGATTTAAAAAGAAAAATTTTTGCGAATTCTTAACTCAAAATAATTTGCTAATTTTCGTGATTTTTCCATATTTTGTCAATTTTTGAACTTTAAATGCTTATAAAAAAAAACTGTGACTAACGATTTTTAATATTTTTCATCTGCCATTGAAACAATATACTAGGAGCCTTATAGTAAATTTTCAAGTTTTTTTAACAACAAATAAATATTTATTGATATTTCTAGAAAAAAAACTAAAAAAAAAAGAAAAATGAAAATGTCCCTAAACAGTTCAAAATAAATCAAAATATTTTGAAAATGTTATTGTGTATAGAAAATGCAAATATAAACAACCAGTGAAAATTTCATGTATTTACGGTCATTCGTTTTAAAGTTACACCAAAAACCAAATTCGATTTTGTCAAAAACTGATTTTGCGTAAAAATTCCCGTTTTTCCTTAATTTTTATGTTGTTTTTTCCCGGCGCTTTGGGAAAATTTAAATTTTGACCTCCTCAATGCACCAACGATATTCACTTTCCAATCGAACAAGATACTGAAGTCGAAAATCGAAGCATTATTTCGACTACTTATCGTGTACACAGACACAAAAAAAAAAAAAAATAAAAAAAAACACACATCATTGTAAAATCAATACATTCATCGTTTCACTCAGAATCTTAAATTAAAAATAAAAAAATAAAAAAACACACATCATTGTAAAATCAATACATTTATCGTTCCACTCTGCAGAATCTAAAATTCAATTTTATTTTTAGATAACAAAATAGTAATTTCTTATAGTTTTATTGTTTTTTTTATCTCTATAACTAGAAGGGCAAGGGCATAATATTATAGTTGCTTTTTAAGTCTTTTTTATGTTTTTTTTTTAAAAATTGGTACACAAAACGGTAATTATCTATGGCGTTTTCAGTCTGTTGTCGTTTTTGATCATTAGCCCCTCACGAACAACTGGACATGATTACGACTTCTGCGGTATCAACGAGGGGGTCCGTCTATAGATATAGAACAATGTTAATATCATGTAGGTTAGGTTAGGAACAATTTTAATATCATTGGAAAGTGAATATCGTTGGTGCATTGGGGAGGTCAAAATTTAAAATTCGCAATAATTTTCAAAAGCGCCAAGAAAAACAAAAGAAAAATTAAGGAAAAACGGGAATTTTTACGCAAAATCGATTTTGGTTTTTGGTGTAACTTTAAAACAAATGACCGTAGATACATGAAATTTTCAGTGGTTGTTTATATTTGCATTTTCTATACACGATAACATTTTCAAAATATTTTGATTTATTTTGAACTGTTTAGGGACATTTTCAGTTTCCAATTTTATTAGTTTTTTTTTTATGAATATCAATAAAAATTTATTTGTTGAGTAAAAATACTTGAAAATGTAATACAAGGCTCCTACTATATTGTTTCAAAGACAGATGAAAATATTAAAAATCGTTAGTCACAGTTTTTTTTTTAAGCATTTAAAGTTCAAAAAATGACAAAATATGGAAAAATCACGAAAATTTGCAAATTATTTCTAGTTAGAAATTCATAAAAATTTTGCTTTTTAAATCTAAGATATGAAAATGTAATACAAAATTCCTTATAAGATTTCCTACATTTATCAAAAAAAAAATTCTATAAGAAAGTCAAATTAAATTTTTATGAGCGTTTGAAATTCAAATTTTTACAACATTGGATATTCACTCGATTTCTCATGTGGCGATTTCCTTATTTTGTTGTAATTCAAAAACGAATTACTATAGATACATGAAAATTTCACTGAATGTTTATATTAGCATTTCCTATACACCATACAATTTTGAAAATATTTTGACTCTTTTTGAGCCGTTTACGGACATTTTCAGTTTTCAATTTTAGATTCTGAGTGAAACGATTAATGTATTGATTTTACAATGATGTGTGTTTTTTAATTTTTTAATTTTTTAATTTTTTTTGTATCTGTGTACACGATAAGTAGTCGAAATAATGCTTCGATTTTCGACTTCAGTATCTTGTTCGATTGGAAAGTGAATATCGTTGGTGCATTGGGGAGGTCAAAATTTAAATTTCCCAGTAGTTTTCACAAGCGCCGGGAAAAACAACATAAAAATTAAGGAAAAACGGGAATTTTTACGCAAAATTGATTTTCCAAAAAATCGATTTTGGTTATTGGTGTAACTCTAAAACAAATGAACGTATAGACATGAATTTTTCACTGGTTGTTTATATTTGCATTTTCTATACACGATAACATTTTCAAAATATTTTGATTTATTTTGAACTGTTTAGGGACATTTTCATTTTTCGTTTTTTTTTAGTTTTTTTTCTAGAAATATCAATAAAATTTTATTTGTTGGTTGCGAAAGCTTGAAAATTTAATAGAAGGCTCCTAATATATTGTTTCAAAGGCAGATGAAAAATATTAAAAATCCTTAGTCACAATTTTTTTTTATAAGCATTTAAAGTTCAAAAATTGACAAAATATGGAAAAATCACGAAAATCAGCAAATTATTTTGAGTTAAGAATTCGTAAAAATTTTTATTTTTAAATCTAAGATTTGAAAATCTAATACAAGATTACTCATAAGATTGTCTACCTTTATCAATAAAAAAATCTCTACCGGAAAGTCAAATTAAATTTTTATGAGCGTTTGAAATTCAAATTTTTACAACATTGGATATTCACTCGATTTCTCATGTGGCAATTTCCTTTTTTTGTTGTAATTAAAAAACGAATTACTGTAGATACATGAAAATTTCACTGAATGTTTATATTAGCATTTCCTATACACCCTACAATTTTGAAAATATTTTGACACTTTTTGAGCCGTTTACGGACATTTTCAGTTTTCAATTTTTTTAGTTTTTTTTTTCTATGAATATCAATAAAGTTTTATCTGTTGTGCCAAAAAGTGTAAAAATTTAATACAAGGCTCCTGATATATTGTTACAATATCAGTTGAAAAATATTAAAAATACATAGGCACAATTTTTTTTTATAAGCATTTTAACATCGAATTTTGATAGAATTTTTCAAAATCTCGAAAATTATTAATCATCGTAATTAATAAATTATAAAATGTTCAGTTTTTATAGCTAAGGATTGAAAATTTAAAACAAGATTCCACGTAAGTAGTTAATTCTCTTACCGAAAAATCTAAAAAATATACAATCACAGTTTACTTTTATAGTCATTTTATGTTCAAATTTGGACGAAATTACATATTAAAAAACCTAGTTATTTTGTTGTGATTATATAATATTATTCGTGGGTACCTACTTGAAACTTCTAAAGTGTACTATTATATATATATGATAGTATCAGGGTTTGTTGTTGATGTTGATGTATAACGTGTTATAAGTACCTAATGGATATTGTGATAATGTGATATGATTAATTTGGAATTTATTATAGGTCAATTTTTTTTTTAATACCATAGATATGTATATAATTTGTATTAAACCTAGACTGACATACCGTCTTCGCTCAGAATCGTTTTTCTTATACAATGATATTGTATCATTGAATTCAAATTTAATAGCATCCATTATACAGTGACCCACTTGTAACCTACTGTACAGCAGAGCGACATCCACTTACCCACCTTTTTTTAGTTTTTTTTTCCTATAAATATCAATAAAGTTTTTTAATACAGAATTTTATACTAGCGTATAATATTATAATAACTATTGTAATGATTAAATATTTGTTTGTATATACATATTCATACGTCTTATTTAATAATATTGAATTTAGTAATTCATCTTGTGTATTTAACTTTGAAATAATTTTTATAAAAGCTTCTTTGTCGAATTTTAAATTTTTTATTTCATCTTAATGAATGGGTTTTGGATAACGTTGATTAAGTGTAATATTGCAACATGAATCATTTAAAATACTTAAATCTAAAGGTAGTGTTGCAAAAGACGATTCTACTGTTTGCTCTGTTATTAATACGCCTTTAGTAGTATGAGCTTGACACCCACCTTTCAGAAATAATTTTCCAGAACTTTTCAATGTAATTTTACGAATAAAAGATCGATTATTACAAATTATTGTAATTGTTGTGAGCTTTTCACACACAAAGTACCAATTATTTTTGAAAAACGATGGGTACCATAATTCTTTTTTAAATTCCGTGATATATCATATAAGTATCACATTGCGTAGGTTTAGTTAAAGCATTTTTTAATATTTCTGTTACACAAGTAGGATCAGTATCACTATTGTGTAACATTTCATTGAAACCGCAAACAAAAATGTCGGCAACTATTAAACAGTTATTGATATTTGACCAAATAAAATATTTTGTCAACACATCATCTGTTAATAAATACGTTGGATTTTCAGCGATATGTATAAATTGTCCGTGTTCATTAATTGGAACGTATATTGGTATAATATAATACAATTTAAAAATTTCGCCGCTACATAGTGGAATTTTTATTGAAAATATTATTCTATCGTTCATTGGGTGAAGGTCTATATGTAATATTTTGTATATTTCTTGTATATTAGTTTCATTAAATTTGATAGGGATTTGTAAATTTTCAGGTAGAATATTTTCTATTTGTTTTATTTCTGACAACAACTGATCTGGTGTAATTATAAAAACATCTAATTTATTTGTTTGAACGTTTGATATCATTCTTTGTAACCTCTAAAAATAAAATTAACCTACTAAAATATAATATTTAGATATTTAGGTAATACTAGTTTAGGTTACAGTTATATATTAGATAATATTATTTACTGTACCTATTGAATACATGCTTTACGAAGTAAGTATTTAATAATGCAATAAATATAAGCCGCGTAAAGGTACGCTCGAATATTAAAAATATTACGGCGGTAATGCGGTATAATATACGTGTATGCATTTTATATTTATGTGATCCGCCACAGACGAAGGTTGATAAAATAATAAACATCGCTCCCGAGTCCCGAATGAGCAAAATTGTCGGCCAGCCGCCGACTGTGAGTAGTGGGCGCGGCTTAAGCGTCGTGTGCTTGCGGATCGCGAAAACACCTAACAGCGCGTTCTCTCGGTCGTTGTATACGTTTCGCTTTCGGTGTGGCGTCCTCTTAATTATTAATACTCAATACAATGCAAAAAATGTCAGGTGTGATCCACCTCGTGGCATTATTACCCTCGAAGTTATAAACGTTAGGGACGGTGTGTTAGCCGACGGTCGTGTCCGCCACCGTGCTTACATTTCGTTGTATTATCGTCTTCGACGTCGTTCCGACTATCGTCGACCTGTTATCCGTTGTACGATCGCTATTCATTGTGGCGTGTTACACGGCCGATATACGCGCCCGTTCTTATTCCTTCGTGTCGGATCATCAATTGTCGTCTGATTCCGACGGCCATAATTCGTGCCTCGACCGGCAATTCGTATATCGTTCGCCGTTGCTATCATTATTGTGTGCGTAAGTCCCTCGTGCGCCGCAGCTCTCAGTGCCTTAATTACATAATTTGCACATTATGTAACCCGGCCACTCGCCATCGTCCGGTGCGCCCGTCAACAGCCGCCGACGTTAAATTTGTTAAAAATACTCCCTAACATCAATTCTTTTTTAATAAATATTTTATATTAGATATCTCCATTAAATAATAAAATATTTTATTGTATAATATTATATATTTAAGGTTTAAGTAATTAATTATTCTTTTAAAATTTTAAATATATGATATTATATTATAGGGACGTAATTTGGGGGTAGGCACGGTGTGCGACGGCACCACTAATATAATAGAATAAATAATTGTCCCTCCATTAATGCTCCTATGCGTCGAAATGATAACTATTAAAAATTAATAAAATATTCTTGGCCAAGTGGCGCTCAAGTCCAAAATTTTAACTATGACATTAGACACCTCCACATAAAATGTTGACACCCACCTATTTATTATAATTACCTTCCCATACTCAAAGTAAATATATATTCTGGCGCCACTGATTCATGCATGTAATTTAAATTAATTGCTTTTATCAGCTTTAGTATCAAATGTATCCCTATTTGATAACCGTGTGAAGGGTGTGTAGGGTTGCCATCCGTCCCGATATATCTGGACTGTCACCGATATTGGGCTCTCTGTCCCGACGTCCCGACAAAAGACCAAAATGTCCCGATTGACACTGTGCATTGCAAATTTCGCTTTATTGCATACAAATATGCATGACATGATCGAAAACAAAAAATTTTGTTTTTCAACTTGTATCATGTTCTTGTACAACTAAACGTATGCGATTAAAATCCAATTAAATCGGTCATATCGATAATATAACACTTTCGTTCGTTCTCAGAATCGTATCGGTCGGGCCGTACAGCGATTATCGGATTCATGGTATTTACAAATTACACGGGCACACGGCATAACTGCATAAGTCGATAATATTGTCAGTCAGTCGCTTTATTTACTTGACGGCGTACGGTACGATATTCTTTTTCGGTAAGTGCGTAATTTTAAATATCAACACGTTTGTTTACGAAAATGTCTGCGGCGAAAAAGAGAAAGTGCCATTTTTTGGATGAATATACGAAAGAGTGGAGTTTTATAAAAAAAGGGCGTACGGATGAAGAAGCGCTTTGTGTTATTTGTAATTGTTTTTTATCAGTTACTCACGGAGGTAAAGCTGACGTAAAGCACCACATTTCTACGACTAACCACAAAAAAAAATTCGCTGTTGTATCGACGTCATCGCCCATATCCAAATTTATGATTAAACAAGATACCCAAGAAGAGTTGCTAATTACGGCAGCAGAACTAACAACAGCTTATAAAGTTGTAAAACATCATCAGTCTTTCAGTTCACTTGATTGTATCGTAAAACTGAATGCCATGATGTATTCCGACTCTAAAATCGCAGCAAAACAATCCACAGCCAGAACGAAGGCTACAGCAATTGTTAAAAATATTCTCGCACCACATTCTGTGTCAGAAATAAAAAAAAAATTGCAAGAAGTTTCATATTACGGAATAGGCACTGATGCGTCCAACCACAAAGCTCAAAAAATGTTTCCTTTGATTATTCAATATTTCACTGAACAAGATGGTATCCAACATAAACTATTGAAGTTTGATTCTTTAAAAAATGAAACGTCGGAAACTATCTCCAAATATTGTATCGACACTTTAAGACAATTGCAGATTCCATTGGATAAGCTAATTGATTTTTGTGGGGACAACACCAACACCAACTTCGGAGGGCTTCAACGACGTGGTCAATGCAATGTTTTTCATAAAATAAAAGAAGACCTGGGAAGACCTATAGAAGGTATTGGATGTCCAGCCCATATTCTGCACAATACTATATCAAGCGCTTCTGGAATATTATCAGTAGATGTTGAAGTTATCGTCCTTAAAATATTTAATTATTTTGCAATATACACGGTTAGGACAGAGAAACTGAAAGAGTTCTGTTCATTTGTTGATATTAATTATCAAACTCTTTTGTCACATTCACGAACAAGATGGCTGTCATTAATGCCCGCGGTTGAAAGAAATTTGAAACTTTGGACACCACTCAAAAATTTTTTTGACTCTGCAGAAAGAGTACCTAAAATTATTTTAGATTTTTTTAAAAGTCCGATTAGTGAAATTTATTTCCTGTTTCTACATTCCAACTTAAATTTGTTTGAGAAAAACATAAAAAGCGTTAAAAGAACAAAGTGTCAGTAATTGAAATTAGAAAAATATTATACGAAACACAAAACACCCTATTTGAAAGGAAATCTACCAAATTTATTGGCATGCAAACCAAAATGAAAATGCAGAAACTTAAAAATGAGAATCCTACACCTGAAACTACAATTTTGATTTCAAAATTTGAAGAAGAAACACTATCATTTTTAACACAGCTTCTGAATATATCTGAAAAAGTGGTCTGTTTCATTTGATAAGTATGATGTGTTTGACTGGATGACACTATCTGAAACCCCAAAATGGGAAAAAATTGAAAATACTATTTTATACCTCAATAATAATGGTGTGGAAACTTTAAGCGATAATATCTTTGAGCAATATATGTATCTTAAAAACTTTTTAGAAGTTAAACTTGCTTCGGAAGAATGGAAGTCGATCAATTCGGTGGAAGAAAAATGGATTATTTTTTTTAAAGAAACTGAAAATCATGAAAGAAAATGTCAACTGTTGAAATTATGCGAGTATTTGTTTGCAATCCCTGCACACAATGCCACAATGGAAAGAGTTTTTTCGTTAATGTCGGCCCAGTGGACTGATGAACGAAATCGCCTGCTCCCAGAGACTATGGAGTCGATTTTACAGTGTCAAGTTAATTATTAAATGACTTGCCCAGAATTCTACAAATATGTCAAAGGGGAAAAAGAACTATTGAAAAAAGCAAAATCTTCTGAAAAGTATGGCCATCCAAGTACATCTGCAATAAATTAAAAATATTTTTTTTGTATGTAACCTTAATAAATATACTAATAGTTTTTCTAAAATAAAGAACTCTAATTTTTCTTTCAAAATTTAGGATTTTTATACACTCCATCCTAAAATTTCTATAACGTCCCGACAAGACCCTAGCCAAATGTGGCAACCCTAAGGGTGTGGTTACTGGTTTTATTATGTAAGACAGTTAGTGCCAGAATGCTGGTATATCTATATAGCTAATAATATATTAGAACCTGTAGAGAAATAACTAATAATGTGTTATTTTGTATTAATATTGAATAGTGTTTAATTTTTGAATTACATTTATTAAAAATAATTCCTTAAACTGCATTTGCTTTTAATTCTCCAAATAGTAGTAAAATGGCTTCTGTTGGCCATTAGTTGCTACTTGTTTTAGTTGCTTATATGTTTTTATTAAAAGCCTTCTAATATATTGAACTGCTAGCTATTTGAAAATTACAATATAAATTAGTTGATATGAGTAATTTTTTATTAGGACTAGCTGCCCTTGTGCCTCGATTCCGGGCGTTGTGAAAGCCGCCTTCGAGGTGGTCGAGTGAAAATCGTTTCACGGGAAATTCGAAAAGAAATTAAACCGTACCGCAAACTGTGACTTGGAGTGTAGAGTGGTTAGTCTTTGCTCGTCTGGTGTAATACCGTGCCCCGCTGTATGCCCGGTTCTGTTTTGTTGACTGTATAAGAAATTAGAAATTGTAATCCAATGTCTAGCTATCAATCATCGCTGTATGCAAATCTATGAGTTATAGGGCATCTGTGTATGAATCTATCAGTTTGCCTTCATGCCTTCAGCCCGAAACTTTCTGTTTAAAGCATCGAATAAATTATTCATTAAACGTGTAAAGTCTACAGTTTCTTCGCAGTTTTCAAAACCATCAAACTTTTTCATTTTATAAAATTCTATACCGGTTGCCATTGATAAACTAAACAACTACAAATAGCAAAAATGTTTTATATTTAAATTATATCATATGAAAAGTAATATGAATTAGATTTAATAATAGAATATAAAATTAAAAAAAAAAAAAAAATAATATTTACTTGAGAAGCAAATTTGACTTTCATTTTTGTCAAGTTGTTCAAATCAAAATGACTTTTGGTCAATTTAGGACAAACTTTTAGCATAGTTTTTGTATCATAAGAAAATACCTTTTCATAAAAGCCCCATTGTATGTATTGTTTATGTGATCACAGAACAAAATCCTTTCGTCTTTTAAATAATTAGATGAGTAATATAAATGGTTTAATTAATAATGGTACGTAATATATAATAAATAATAATTATTAAAAAAATATAACAAATATAAACAATTCCGAAAATAGACATAATAGAAAATCCAAAAGTCTACGGGGGGCATGGCCCCTTGCCCCCCCCTGTATCCGCGCCTGTTTTTGGGTTAGTTGTAACTTGTAATTAAAAGAATAATTCACAATTTTTTATATAGTATATTAGAACGAGATGTTATGTCAGTGTGTAAAATACTGTAGTAAATCACAGACGATAAAAAAAACAAATTCCTGAATCCCGATCGTACGATACCTAAATTAATAAATATAATAATATATTTATACACAATTACACTGTGGTCTACCGCCATGCTATCTATGATTGCAGTCAAAACCACATATATTAATTCTTGTGAATTTATTGATCAATAGACAGCTCCACCAAGCAGTCAGATTAACTGTAAGCACTATCGTGGCCGCTTCAGCCTATACATTATCATACGTCGTCACGCAACCATACTATCTTTAACCGTGATTGATAGTATTAAAACCACTTTTAAAAACCAAAAAATATAAGCATGTGCACAACACACATATATACAACATGATACATTTAACTGATATTTTATAGGCTAAACAGTAAACATAATATATTAATTTAACTGTACCTACTTAATAAGTACTTATGAACAGTAATAATGTTATGACAGGTACGCCACACCTACAGGTGTCTATATAAGTAATTTAGAGCATTGAATTAGCTTTATGGAACGTTTTAATTTAATTTGGTATGCACAGGTCGTTCGCAACCAGACACCTATATATCTGGGAAGTATAGTTGCCTTTAAATCGACTACTTAACCTTCTTATTCAATTGCCATTCGGCTTTAACATTTTCTCCTACAATAATACAATATCAGACTATTGAAGTTAGGAGGTATGCCCAGTAAACGCACTAATTTGTACCGGCTGAGGACTGAAAGCTAGACACATAATTACCTTTTTCGTCATAGGCGTGCGCACGGGTGTTGCAGTTTATGCTATAGCAACACCTGCGGGCTGCAAACACTCACAATTTTTATTTTTCTAACCAACAATAGTTAATACTGTTAGTAGTTAAAATTTACAAAATAAGAAACATTACAAATTAAATTTATTAATATATTATTTTGAAATATTTTACAATAAGTTTATTCTTGTAGTGTGGCCACACTGATATATTGTATTGTTGATAATAACATGACATGACGGACTATATTAATCTATGTATGAAACTGGTACCACATAATTTTGTGCTGGTACCTCCATAAAAACCCGCTTAATATTTGTCGTGATAATGATAAATTGCTAATCTAATCTAATGTCATTTAAATAACAATTGTGGTAATTTGTAAATTTTTATTATTTAAGTTTATACACTATACAGAATGTATAAAAGAAATAACCAATCGACTTTGTTCGATTTAAAAGAAAATTTAAACAGTGTGAAGCCAATCGTATACAAAATCGTACATATTTGGCACGAATTATTGACTTAAAAATTTTACTTGGTAAATGTGGTCAAGCATTTAGAGGCCACAATGAGAAAGAAGGCAGTAACAATAGAGGTTTATTTCTGGAACTAGTTTCTTTGTTAAAAAAGTATGATAGTGTTATGTCCAACCATTTAGAAAAAGGTCCCAGAAATGCTTCGAAAGATTTCATCTATGCTCAAAAATAAATATGTTTCGATTATTGCTGATGAAACCAGTGACTGTGGTCATCACGAGCAGATGTCTATAGTAGTTCGTTTTTTTTTATACAAGTTTGAATAAACCAGTTGAATACTTCATGGGTTTGCAACGTCTTTTAAAAGTTGACTCACAGTCTATTTTTGAAGTTTTAAATAATTTTGTAGAAAATATTGGTATATCTTGGGAAAACGTTATTTCTGTATGTTTTTATGGAGCTGCTAACATGTCTGGTTGTCATAATGGTGTTCAAATGAAGTGTAAGGAAAAAAATGAAAATATATTTTATGTACATTGCTATGCACATTGCCTGAATTTAGTCTTAGTAGACTCAATCGGAAGAAAAAATGTAGTATTATTTGATTTTTTTGGTACAGTACAACTAATTTATTCTTTCTTAGAAGGGTCTTGTACAAGGCATGCTGTATTAGAAAAATTTGCAACCAAAATTAATATAAAACTATGCTCACTTAAATCCTTGTCGACAACTAGATGGGCATGCAGACATGAAGCTGTATCAGCTGTCAAGTCCAATTATTCTGCTTTAATACTTGCTCTCGAAGAAATATATAAAGAGACAACTGTATCAGAAGCTAGAGCTAAAACTCGTGTTACATTAATGCAAATGAAATCATTTGATTTTATTTTTTCATTAAATATGATGCACTCAATTCTTATGATAATTGTGAAAGTAAGTAGTAGCCTACAGTCAAAAAGTATTAACCTTTTAACAGCGGTATCTTTAGTAACATCATTAAAAGCAAACATTCAAAAGTTCAGATCTGAAGAAGAATTATTTAATAATATATATCAAGATACAGTTCAACTTTGCTCACAAAATAATATAATAATTCCTGAAGTGAGAAAACGTAAAATATCTTGTTTTTTGGATGATAATAAAACTCAAACATTTCATCAGACAAAAGAACATGAAATTAAGATAAATTGTTATTATGTAGCATTAGATGACATGATAAATTGACTAAATACTCGATTTTCTCAGGAAACATTAGGTATTATTTCAGCAGTAGGTAATACTCTTCAACTAATTCCTACAGAGAATGATATACAATTACTTCAAGAAAAACTTAAAGTAAATTCTGATTGTTTTAAAACAGAAATCAAATTACTAAAAGAACTTCCAGGTACTCCTGAAAAGACTTCTTCTTAATCTATAGAAAATTGGATAGAATGGTTACTTAAGTTAGATACACTAAATATATTTACTAATTTTTTTGATATTTTAAAAACATTTTTAGTTATTCCAGTCACTAGCTGTTCTAGTGAGAGATCATTCTCAAAACTTTCGTTAGTGAAGTCAAAGTTGCGGAATACAATGAAACAGGATAGACTTGATTCTTTACTGTTATTATTTGTAGAACAAGACCTATTGACTAAAATTGACTACAATGATGACATTGAAGAGTTTAAAATATTAGTTCCCGGGGAAAGACGTCTACCATTATAATAAATAATATGTATTAAATAAATAACATTTTTGTATTAATCAAATAAATAATGTGTATTGACTTATTAAATACCTATAATTTTTAGCAACACCTACCACTAAGTTCTGCGCACGCCTATGGTTTTCGTTATGCATTTATCCTTTTTGCACGCACAAAAGAACAGGGCATGCGACGGGTCATATTATCAATCACAGATTGTTATCAGTTTACAGTTTAGTAAAACCTCCAAAAACCGGGAATTGTACTATTCTTGAAGGTATCCACAATCCACTCAGCACTGTGAATGTTTCTATATCAACTATATCCTACAAAGTTCTATCAATTAATAAAAACCATAATATTTTATTTTATTTAGAAAACATACCAATTACTAATATAGCTTATTTAAAGGAAATTATAAATGAACAAAATAACACATTAGAAAGAATGGAAAAAATAAAAAGCTGAAGTAAAAAATGGACAATATAGTAGAAGAAGGTATTTGGGACTTTGATGATACTTTTCAGGAACATAATTATTGTAATGTACCTGAATCAACAGTTTTTGAATGCATTGTGTACTTTCTGACTGGGTAAATATCTGGGTACTATCTTGAAGTTTTATCTTACTAAATTAATTATATTATGATTTCACTGTTCACAGTTACATTGTAAAACGTTTGAAAAACAGTTTTAAGTGCGACCTATGTATAAAATGTTTGGAAGCAAAATATGGAATACTACCAGACCCAGAAGCAGATTTAGTAAATATGAAAACTAGATGATTTTTAATACACCCAAGTCGCCCAATATTTTTATATATTAAGGAGTTAGAATCTTGTTTTAAAAAGCATGCAGATTCCATCGATGTATTTGATGAATTTCTATAAAATATTAATTTTAAATTACAATGGGGATGTGCAGAGCACAAGAGTAAAGTTATGACTGATATGTATGTACATTATATACAATGGGTATGAAGCAATAAGCATATGCTAAAAACCAGGAAATGAAAAAAACAAAATAAAATTTAAAAAAAACTGTCAAAATTAGTTTCTTCGTAATAAAGAATAAAGAATAATAATATGTAACTGTAAAATGTGTTGACTTTTTAATTTATTTTTTTCCAATGTTAATATAAAAAAAATTAAAAAAGCTAATATCGACGTGTGACAGTATGAGACAATGAATTAGTAATTACATGTCTAGTGGTTCTATGTAAAAACTCGTATTTTCTACATATAACCACTAGATAGCAGCATTGGGCAGTCAGTTTAGACTTAAGCACTTCTATCGCCGCATTTTTGGTCGTCGTCACGCAACCATACTATCTTTAATCGTGCTATCAATCTCTAAATCAATATTAGTCTCCTGTTTTGTCCACTAGGATAGACGACTTTCGTGTCGTTTTTCCGGCCCGGCCAATCGCAACGTTCAGATTCAATAACCGCGTTATCACTTCTTTTCTTATCATTTTTGAAATTTTCGAAATTTACTCTTTTTACACGATTTCGACCGTTTTCTAGCCTTTTTCACTCATGTTTATATTTGATTCGCGTAGCTCTTGAAGCCGCCGGTGTGCGGTTTATATCCGTACGCCGTCCGTAGCCGTCGCAATGTCGATCGCAAAATACGCTCGCGGCCGGACTTTTCGTTTTCTCCGACAGTTTCGTCTTTTCGCACGTCGCTCGTTCCCGAATCGTGTAGTCGACGTCTTTCTAAAGCCGTATATATACGCTTTTCTTACGAAATCGGTCGGTTCGCTTCGCAATCGCGTTTAGAAATGATGCCGGCGACCGACCGACCGTACGCGTATATATACATGTATATTATTAAATTGTTCCCTATGATTTAATAATTATTAACGGAAAACCCTTTTCACACGCCCCGTTAAATATATATATGGGAGATGCGCGTATTACAAGCGAATTATATGCGATTATATCGAATATATCGGTTTACGTCACTCCGTAGATGCACGGCTTAACTGTTGATGTTTTGACCGTACTCTACATCTCAAACTGTGTCCGAGTAGATTAGGCTTTAGGTACGAAACACGTAGGTCCTGGGTTCGATCCGCCGTTGAATGCTCTCCGGGTGGCGAAATCGTCCTTCCCATATGCTTAATGCCGATCGCACACCAAAAGAGCAAAACTGCGTTAGACAGTGTTCGTCATTTTCGTCATAGTCAACTAAAAACAATTTGTTTTTATAAAATGCACACTACCTAGACAAAACACCATTAGACAAAACAAAAATCAGTTGTCATCATGCCATCTGATGAAGATGTAGCGATTTGCATGTGGTACACTCATTACTATCAAAAAGGTACCATTTTCTTTTTTTAGAACCAGCTGACCCAGATTTTTTATTTTTGAGTTCACGAAGTTCCCTTGCAAATGAATTACGAAGACTAGTCCACTTACTTTTGCATACCGACACTAAAAAAACCAATACAAACATTTCACAAAATAATCATTCAATGGCTTACAAAGAATATGTTTACAATTATGATTAATAACAATTTATACATATAAAATTATGTACATTTCAATATTCGACATACCTACTATTAATTTTTTTTTAAAACTAATACATACTTCGTTTAATTAAGAATTTATAATGGTTCATGTAAAAAAAAGTTAAAAGTTGGTAATTTATTTAAACATTTATTTTTTAGTTTTTTGGCTTCTGGTGAACATTTTCAACGCATCCATTATAGTCTTAGATTAGGAGCTACCACTGCAGGTAAAATTGTCAATGATACGTGTTGTGCATTATGGAAAATACTATCGCCACAGTTTATGCCTCTACCTTCGACTGATGGTTGGTTGAACATTGAAAAAGAATTTGACAAATTTTGGAATTTTCCTAACTGCGTAGGTGCCATAGATGGCAAACATATAGCTATTCAATGTCCACCAAATTCAGGATCTAGTTATTACAATTATAAAGGACACCACTCTATTATTCTTCAAGCAGTAGTTGACGCCAACGCAAAGTTTATATTCATAGATATAGGTGATTTCGGTCGTAACAGTGATGGAGGAATTTTAAAAGAATCAAATTTTGGAAAACTATTGGACAATAATAAACTACTTTTACCTCCACCGAGAAAAATTCATGAAGAAGTCGAAGATGAATTCCCATTTGTATTTGTTGCGGATGAAGCGTATCCGTTAAAAAAAAATTTGATGAAGCCATTTGCAAGAAAACAATTGACAAATCCGAAGCGAATTTATAACTATCGTCAATCACGAGCGAGAAGAATAGTAGAGTGTGCTTTTGGTATTCTAACAAAACGATTTAACGTATTTGAAAATAAAATGTTAGTTAATCCGGAGAAAGCTACAATCATAACTCAAGCTGCTTGTGTACTTCACAATTTAATTATGGAAAAAGAACATAATCTAACTGACATTCATAATGAAATGGAAACAACCTCATCACGGGTAAACCAACAAGACATCATCAACAAACCTACAAATCGCAGACCACCAAGAGATGCTATAGATATTCGTGAAAAGTTTATGAAATATTTCAACTCTGAAAAAGGATCAGTTCCATGGCAAAATGTATATACTGTTTAAATACCTAAGCTAAAATTGTTTGTTTTAAATAAATAATTTTTTTAAATAAAAAAAATACTGTTGTGTTGTGAAACGTTGACAGTACACATTTTTAACGACAGTTATGTTGTTTTAAATAAGTAATGCTGTTTTCAATGTTTTCAACTCCGTACAAGTATACAATTTGTAATTTCTTATGTAATAATAATGATTCAATAACTTAATAACTTAATAATACTTTATAATAAATAATAATACTTTATAACTAATATATTCAAATTACCATCAACATTCATTTCTTTACTTATTTCTTCCCATAACTTGTCTTGCACAATTCGATTGCTATTGTCCTTGTCTCCAAAATCATAAATGGATGGTCTTATTTCCACTAAACTTACTAGTATTTCTCCATCACAAGCCATTATGTGATAAGTATATAAAAAATATAAACAAAATACAAAATACACACGAATAATATTCTTTCTTGTCTAGTTGTGACTAACGAAAAATGTGGACACTCAGACAGTATCAGTCATGACTAATTGTGATTTAAAGCAAAAACGTTTTGTTTTGACTATGTCTTATTAATGTGCGTATGCAACGTAATTTCCTATGTTCTATTTTTAACAAAACTGTGTTAGGCTGACTAACACTGTCTAACGCAGTTTTGCTCTTTTGGTGTGCGATCGGCCTAACACTCCCGTAATACGACTTTTTTTGCATTTTTTTTCCGTAATTTTACAAATTTCCGATCTTTTCTCTTTACTATTATTATTATTTTAACTTTAGTTTGTGGTTGTACGTTCAATTTTTTTTAATTAATCTACCATATTTAATTTTTTATGTATTATAATATAAAATGTATTTACGTAGGTAAACAAGTTTTTTTTCGATTTTCTTACGTTATTTTACAAATTATACTTAAGTTATAATACCTATATATTTACCTTGTGTATGTATAGTTAACTTTTTTCTACCAAATTTCGTTGCTATGTATTATACACAGATTTCTTTACGTTGATAAACATTTTTTTTCAATTTACGATTGTTTTTTCTTTACAATTACATATTATTCAATAAATACGTAGGTACCTACACTCTGTGTTACCTACATAATTACCTGTATACATGGGCGCCAGGTTTTCCAATTTTCAT